TAATTATCCTAAGCCCTTTATGGTAAATTATAGGGTATCCTACCCTGAAACCATATTCCAACTTTCTGAAGTTCCCTTTAAAGGAACCCCTAAAAATCCCTTTAAAGGAACCCTTAAGGATCCCTTTAAAGGAACCCTTAAGGATCCCTTTAAAGGAACCCTTAAGGATCCCTTTAAAGGAACCCTAGGTTCATGGCCAAGAAGCCGAAGAAGGACAGCTTTGGGGACTCTGCCTGCGCAGGTCCTGCAGCAACGCTGGCGGCAATGAGAGCGGCGGCCATGGAGGCTGCAGCCTGTTTAAGGGTTTAGGGTTTAGGGTTTTTTAAGCCTAAACCCTAAACCCCAAAAGCCTTAATACATGAGCCCTTAAAAGCGCCGGGGTATTAGATCAAAGGGGAAAAGGAGGGACCCTTAATGGGGACCCCTACCCTATAATGGGCTATATAATGGGTGTATAATAGCTATATTAAGGGTATATACCTAGGGGTCCTTATTAAGGATCCCTCCTTTTACCCTTGGATTAAAGGATCATGGGACTTGGAAACTAGAGGTTTAGGGTTCCACTAAGTCCTTATAACCCCAAAAACTCGGGTTTAGGGTTCCACCAACTACTTATAACCCCAATATCTAGGGTTCTTGATTCCACTTAATGATTGTATTCATTTCGAATTATATGGTAGCCTAAACCCTAAATCCCAATAAAGGTACTTGTAACCTTGCTACGTCCCAGGAGGCCGTGGCCTGTCCCTGGATCTTCGCGGGCACGAAGGCCTCCTGATGGTGAGGGCTCTCTTGGGGTTTTTTATTATAGATTATATATTATGTTCAATCATATGTTATATATTATATATTGTATTACATATGTACACATTATATACTATATACATATAGAGAGAAAGAGGGTTTATGCAAGCTTATGCTTGTGCAGGGCTTGTGGTTTTAGCCGTTTTTGACAGGTGGGTTACTGTCATAAGTCAATGTGATTTGTCAGGTTTGCCGGCTTGAAAGCCTTGAAACAATAGGGGGGTGGCTCATTTAGGAGTCATTTCTAACAAGGGAGTTTCGGTCTTTCTTAAGCCCCTGACCACACACCTTAACTCCAAACCCCACATCCCTATCCTGTCAGCCGCAACACCCTACTTCCCTAATCTCGACAAATCGAACTCCCGTAAAGCTGCATAAGCCTTTAAATACAAAAATTCTACAAAACCATGGAAGCACTCCATTTCTGAATCTCCCTCAACCCTCCTCTTGGCAGCGAGGGCAGCAACAACGCACCAGGGCCACTGCAGCGGCGGCGAGAAGAGCCTGGCAGCACGGTTTTCTCTTGTTTTGAGCCTCTTAACCTACCAAAACCTACAAGGATTCCTATGAGGGTTCTAGACGGGATTCAGGGTTTTCGGATTCAAGGGCTCTGCTTGGAGATTCATGGGACTTCGTAGGTGCAGTTGCAAGTACCTCACCTTAGGGACCCAAAAAGCACATAAGCATAAAGCATTTTATGGGGATATCCCTACCTTATTGGCCTTCCTTTTCTGGGGGCTTATATGGGATATCCTTGTCCTCATTTTTTCTTATGTGCTTTTTGGGGCCCTCTCACTGGTCTTCTATTCAATTGTAAGTATAGCTACCTTGTTTAGAACCTATACAGTTACTAAGTCCCATGAACCTCCAAGGAGGGTTCAAGGGTTTTGACCCAGAGACTCCAATATCCCTTAATTAAGGAATATTCCTTAAATTATAGTAGGATCCCTTACATGATTTAAGGAATAGTCCTTGATTAAGGGCTATTGGAGTCTCTGGGGAAGGAGCAGGGCCTGGCCTCGTATGTCTGGGAGTCTTGGCTTTCATTCTTGTGCAATTCCTAAATAAGCATTTTCCATAAGGAAAGTCTGCTATGGGTCGAACTGGTTCTTTTGGGGTGTTATCAGAGTCAGAAGGAAAATAAGCAGGGCGCTATCGTTTCATAGAAGCTTGTGAAAGAAGGTACCTCAACCCATCTTCCATTCCAGTTTGGGAACCGTGTAACGCAAACAGTGCCGAGCTCTTAAACCCCGTAAACCTTACAGAAACATTATAAAGGGAACTCCAGAAAGTTGGAATGTGGATTAATGGTAGGATCCCCTACAATTTACCTTAAAGGGGCTACGATAATGATATTCCAACTTTGTGGCTTCTACTGTAGAACTCAAGGCATGGCTTATAGAATCCTTACAGAATCCCCACTTGGAGGATGGTAGGGCTAAGGTCAGAAGTGGCCATACGCATAGTTATTCCTAAGTCTAGATACACACAAAGTCGCATGATCCTTAACACCTTCAACCCCTACAGACCCCTTCTAGAACCCTTCAAGGAACCTTTAACCTTTGAAGATCCCTGTAGACCCAACCAACCAACCTAAGGGCCCATGTATCCAAATAGTATATACCTTGGCCTGAAAGTAGTCCCTATACACGTACTTTGGGGCCAGAGTATCTGCTGTTTAGGCACACGGACCCGTAAGCTCTAGACCCTATTAGAACCCAGAGAGGAACCCTTAAAAGACCCTTAGGGAAAAGGAGACCATCCTTGCCTTGGAGAGCACGGAAGTGCGAGCCATTGCTGCTTCCGAGGGAGGGAAGGGCGCAAGGAATCCGATGTAGCTTGAGACAAAAAACCCTGCGCTGTTTTAGCTTAAGGTTTAGTTCAGGGTTTGGGTTTTTGGGGTGCGGTTTAGAGTCACTCGCAGGGCTTGGGGCTTCTTGTTTGCGGGGGGTGAGGTTTTGCAACCTCTTAAGTTGCGAGCTGGGGGTTTTAGGGTTTCTAAGTTAGGGTTGCCAGAAACGGGAGCTGAAACGCAGGACATTAAGCAAGCGGTATGATCTAAACTCTGAGCCCTACACTCAAACCCTGGGACTCTACACTCTACGCCACCGTACGCTACTACAAGTCTGCTCGCCTGCACAGTGACGCGGGCACCCAGGGCGAGGACGTACCTGAAGATAGGGTTTAGGATCTAGGGGGTTTAGGAATTAAGGCTTGACGGCTTGGGTTTAGGCGGTTTTGTCTTGGTGTTTGCCTGCGCCCGAACACTATGGACATAGATGTTTCTGGAATGGTTGCCAATACGACTGAAAGTCTAGGCTATTGTCAAGCAACTTAACTGTATAATTAACTTGCGTAAGTTACCAGAAAAGGACCTGTAGTAGATATTATGTTCCTTATGACCTTGACTTTCATGACTTACTTCACAAGAAACTAGAAGTTAAAACACGAATGCCATTGACAGCAATGGAAAGATAAGATCACAAACAATACTCGGATTTAGGCATTAGGAATTTGTTGTTTGGGGTTTAGGCAAGTAGGTATACAAGGAAAGATAGCCTTTGCATTTTGCTAGCAGGTTGAAGTCTTTTTCAACAAAAGAAACAGAAATCATGATGCCGAAGACCATGGCAGCTATCACGAAAAAACAGCAACCCTAAACCCCAAACCCTAGCTAGACCCCCCAACTACCCCTTTTTGTAGCCCTTAACTACCTCATAATGAGAAATATCAGAACCTGTTACTGTAAAGGGCACTTGGGGGAGGGTCCTGGTAAACCCTAGCGTTCAGGATCTTGAGGCTTTGCGATTCGCGGTACCGTAAACACAGTACACCAAATAGTAGGGTCCTTATTGTAACGGTTGATGATATAAATCCTGCATTACCTTAAGGACCCTAAACTATGGGAATTATGGTATATTCCTCACTATGGGTAATGCAGGATTTATATCATCAACCGAAGGACCCCAAAATAAGGCCCCCCCCTCATTTTCGGAAACTCCCATCCTCAGGCTGTGCGATTCAATTTGCAACTTTTTTGAAGGCGTTTTGCCGGGGCTGGGATCCGTGGAGGGCTTAGGGCCTTCTGGGCTGGTACTTCCAGGGATGGCAGTAAGCGCTTATGGCAGGGCTTAGGGTTTAGGGTTTAGGGGTTTAGGGGTTTTCGAAAGGATGGCAGTAAGCGCTTATGGTAGGGTTTCTAGATGGTTTTAGGCAGTAGTTCTAGGCTGTGAATGAGATGGGGTTCGGGCGAGCGTACAACCTAAAGGCGTCCTCCGCCTTTGGAACAATGTTTGCCTAAACCTTGCTCTTGCCCTGAAACCTTGAACCTAAACCTTGCTCTTGCCCTAAAACCCCAAACCTAAACCTTGGTTTTGCACCAAAACACTCAACCTAAACCTCATTTTTGAAAGTGTAAATTCGGCAAAGATGGCGAAATTTATGGATTTCGGATTGCGGTGTTGGAACCCATGGGTCGGGAATTTGAAGCCTGGCGTCACCTGTGGATCCAAAAACCTACCGGTTTAGTGGTTAAACCCTCTAATTTAAGGGTAATAACCTACCATTTTTGGGGGTTTGGGGATGCAGGCAAGAACAGTGTTTAGCGGTTTGGGGGTGTAGGGTCTCAGGGCCCGATCCATCCCAGGCACACTCAAGAGGAGATGAGATGTTGGCTGCCGGGGTTTAGGGGTTTAGGGGGCTAGGGTTTACGGATTTACAGTCGAAGCCCAAAAGTTGGATCCCAGCACTATTTGGCCTTAACCCGGTTTCCAACTTCATGGGGTTTACTGTAGGGGCTTAGGGTTCGGGGTATCGTAGTCGGGCCTTGAGATGTTTCTTTTCAAATCAAGTCAGCTAGGAACATGGAGCAGGTTGACTCAGTAAAAGTATACCGAGAACTTCCGCAGATGGCACTGACAATCACCCAAAAGTCAGGTCCAAATCTAGGGGGGTGGGGTGCGTGTTTGTGTGTATTTGGGGGGTCAATTTTTTGGGGGGAGGGGGGGGTGTCGGGCGGTTCGGGGCTTCAAGCCTCAAGCTCAATCAACCTGAGTGGGACCTTGACTGGAAACGAACATTGACCCAAATCTCCATGGTAAACCGTAATTACACCTGAAAAGACCTTTAACTTTAACCCTCAAACCGTAAAACACCAATCACGCAAGACACATCTAAAGCAGCGCCTCGAACAAACCCTAAACCAACCTAGCCCCAAGAGGGGGGCACACGACCACAAAAAGAGTCATCATCACCCAGAAGAGAGATCGGACGCTGATCACGAAGCCGGAGATGATGTTCGTCAGCTCCTACTTGCTTTTCAACACAAGGGTGAAGTGTTTAAATATGCGGGGTTATGGTCGAGGGGTTAGGGTGCATATTAGGGTTTAGGATGGTTTTAGGACTGGCATTTAGTGGCTTCTTTGGGGCCTGTATATGTGGCTTTTATCGTCCAGAAGCTATTTGTCAGCATTTCTATGTGCGGGTTTTGAAGGTTAGGGGTACTGTTTTGGTAAGGTTCAGCAAAGCAGGATCCGACAATTTAGGGTCCGTATTGATTGTGCATGCCTTCGTTGGTTAAACCTTGTTTGGGATAAGGTCAGCTGTTGAAATGGAGTTTGGGTTGAGTATTCGGGAATTCGGACATGAAACCACCACAATTGATGATGCAAGCGGCAGGCGCCAGTTTGTTGTAGAGCTCGGCTCTACCTACGCCTACGCCAATATCGAAATGTCACGTGGCGTACGTTCCAGCAAGCGCTGGACACGCAGCGACGTCCCCGCTATATTGCCTATGCCACCCTACATTTTTCTCACAGCTTCTCCTGCGCACGGTCCGGGTCAACTACGACAGTCGGACGACGACCCTTTGGCAAAGTGCAAAAGACTATAGATTACTGCATGCATGTATAATTAGAAGGGCTCTTGGGGTATATACTACTACAACTATGGACGTCCATGGGACTTAGCGTGTACTGCGAGGTTGTAGGTAGCTTGATTGGGGCTTTGCATAATTATCATATATAAGTATAATGAACTATAATTACCTTTCCTACAACCCGGATTACAAAATTATCGTCCAAGTACTCGAACTTTCATCTCACACCCAAGCGCACCGAACACCCCGTTGACAAAGGTAAACTTGGCTTTTTGCAGCTGCGTGGGCTTTCTGGACTGTTCCACGTCTAGTATAGGAGACTTGATAGTTACAATAAGGTTTTGGGGGTAGAATGCACTATACTTATAACCCCCAAAGAAACATAATGTCCTATATTAGAGTCCTGCTATCCAAGAACTGCCGAAACTGAGACCATCCTTCCGAAGGATTGCCGCAGTGCAGCCTTGACATTAACACGCTCTTGATAGCACCGTTTTAGCGTTTGGGGTTAGGGCGGTCAGGGTTTAGGGTCTAGCGGGTCCGTACTACGGCGTGGTGGCAAGTAGGTTTGCAAAATGGGCAAGTACTCGACCGGCCTGCAGCAGCGGCATGCGCATGAGCTTCGCGAGGCGTGCCATCCGGGCCAGGCGAAGGCCCCGAAGAATCAAGGCGGCTTTGGTCCTAAGCTCGACGGCGGTCTCTGAATTACTTGCGATGAAAACAACGATAAGTCCACCACCCACCCACCACCCACCCACCTCGCACCCACCTCGCTACCAGCCACCACCAGCCACCACCAGCCACCAGCACCAGCCACCAGCAGCCAGCACCAGCCACCAGCAGCCAGCACCAGCCACCAGCCACCAGCCACCAGCCACCAGCCACCAGCCACCACCACCACCACCCACCACCCACCACCACCCACCACCACCCACCACCACCCACCACCACCCACCACCACCCACCACCACCCACCACCCACCACCACCCACCACCACCCACCACCACCCACCACCACCCACCACCACCCACCACCACCCACCACCACCCACCACCCACCACCACCCACCACCACCCACCACCACCCACCACCACCCACCACCACCACCACTACCACCACCACCACCACCACCACCACCACCACCACTACCACCACATCTTTCCAGCAGCCACTACCGACCACCACGACCACCCACAACCCGCAACTACTGGCCACCCGTATAAGTCTTGAGAATGTGGTTTTCTTGATGACCTCGCGTGTTTAGCTTGCGCAGGTCAAGGCTCGAACCTGGTTCTGAAACCCCGAAACAATATCAAAACAAGAATAATATTACTTACTGTCATAATAATACTAACAATATATACTAATAAACGTATAAGATTACATATCATATATGGCACTGTACAAACATGATTATAATTATTCATTCTGCCGGGCGTCTGTGACCCCTGCGTCGCCATTGCTAGGTTGAGGATCGTTTCGGAGACGGCGGCCACGGAGAGGAGCACATCGAACCAATTCCACCAATAGTCCTCATATAACCATATTACACACACACACACATATATATATATATTTTTAGAAAAGGATATAGGGTGTAGGGTTTAGGGCTCATAGTAACGATAGAGGGTTTAGGCTGAAGTTGAAAAAGCTTCGACTGAAAACTGTGAGAGGCTGAAAGCTGACCTCTGAGCTAAAGGATTTCGGCTGTTATGACTTTTCCCACATTTGGGAGTTTCCGGAAATTAGGGGTACCTTATATTGGGGTCCTTATAATAAGGATTCTATTATTTAGGGTACTATATTAGGGTCCCCTATTTTCCGAAACCCCCACATCTAGTGCGATGAGCACGAAGGATCATATGCGATACACTGACGGCTACCAATGCATATCTGCATGTCTCCTCATGCTCCACTCGAGGTTCCAAGGCGCTGGTGAGAATCATCTAAGTACCTACACTATACCTTAGAAGGGGCCCCCACCCTGTAATAGTGACCATAAGGACTTTTTAGGATTATATTAGGGCCCTATTATATTCCTATTATACCACTATTACAGGGTGGGGGCAGCTTCTAAACTATACCGCTTGTCACATAAACCCGAAACTGCAGACACCACACTCTTCTCTCAGCGTCGGGTGTCTTCATGGTATAGGACCCGTGGGTTATTGTATGTTAACCCTAAACCCTCAACAGCTTGGGCTATGGTCAAAAGATGCCAAACGGTACCAAAGGGAAGTCGGAGCTTGCGAGAAGGCATTACCGCGGATTCCGAGCGTCTTAGAGCTTGGGCCCAATCTCATAACTGCAACACGGTTCCTTTGAAGGGTTCTTGCTAAGGCTTCCTACTTCAAACTTCGTCTTACGATATATACTATACTCCCCGGCACTACCCGGAAGCGAACTAACTGGGAGGTCCGGGCAAGAGCCAATGTATTACCCAAAAAGCCCAATATATATATATATATATATATATATATGTATACACTCCTTGATTTAAGGAATACTTCTTTAAGTTATAATTGGCTTCAGATTATGATTAAATCTACATTCCTTACATAATGTCTAAAGATACTGGGCTCTCTGGGTATCGTTTAGAGCGTAGGCTGGTCTTATCTTCTTCGAAAACCCTTACGTAGCAATCAGCTTGCAGCTAACGGCAGCTAACTGTTGTCAACTGGACCTTCCCCCCAGAACAAGGCTGCTTGTCTTGAGGGCGATTGAAACTTCTTGGAGGAACGAAGATTTAACAGCTTTTCGCACACGGGGTTTACGATGAAGGTCAGGAGTTTAGGAAACCCTAAGCCTTAAATCTTATAAACAAATTTGAGGTACTTAGGACCTGTCACTTGTTCAGGATACAACGACTAGGACATACCAGTAATTAGAGTTTTTGGCTTTGGTGCATAGGGTCAGAGATATCATATAATGGGCTTAAAAGAAGGGTTCAACAACTACCAGTACTATCTTGGGGTTCCTTATTATCAGTACACTGTAATGTACCCTAAAACCCTATTCTGATAATTAAGGCCCCTATACTAAGGCCTTGCCGGCCTTGCTGTAGAAACTCAAATCAGGACATCTAAGTCTGGTTTCAGGGAGGATCAACCCGAAACATGTTGCGATTTAGGGTTTAGGGTCTCAGGGAGGATCAACCTGAAACTCGAAACTTCACCCTTAACCAAGACCGCTTAAGGGCCCTATAACAGAGCCATTATGGCGGGTCTAGGAGTCCGAAACTCTGAACACTCAAAACCCTCAAATTCCTAAAAAGCTTAGGCCCCGAACGCATACATCGCCGCAAATGCTGGCATGGCACACGCCCACAGAAATAGCCCCGCATTCCCAAAGATGTGCCCTTGACGACGACCTGCCCAGGCCGAACGTTGACTAACATGTTCTAGTGATTCGAAAAAGATTCTATTGGGTACTGCAGGCTTGTAGAATGGTAGTAACAGTAGTTCTAATATTCCTTATCCAAAGGTGAGAATGTAGGTCGAAAGAAAAGACTGCCGTCGAATGCCGATGTGCCTTGAATCCAATATCTCAAAATTACGACACCCTCTCTCTCTCTCACACGGACTCGAGTCGATCATGCCGCGAAGAAACAAGCCGTTATGTCGTTGGTCGACACAAGAAAACCACCACAGGCCTAAAGACTCTGCGCACAACACCCTAGTCTGACCATTACGGCATTTTTCGGCCCCTAGATTACATGAGATAGTCGCATTTACATCTTCCGAATACCTCCTAACGTGTCAGCCTCGTACGAGTTCGATTCCGGTAAACGTGGGAAATTCAGAATAAAAGGGCCCATAGCAATATCATCATGGCAGTAAAGGGAGCCCTAAATAAGGTGCCCCGAAACCCCAAACATCGGCTATTGCTTCAGGGCTTTCGTTTCAGGCAATAAGGTCAAACCTTCAGAATAGGACTACCTTACAACAGCACCACAAAGGTGGACAAGCTGGGTTGTGGACCACTCGGAATTAGAGCTCTTCACGGCATCAGGGTTCAGGGCTTGGGGTTTGGAGTTCGAGGCGTTAGGGCCCAGGACCCGAAGGTCGTCAACGAGTTCGTCCCACTTCTCTCGGTTCTGTTGTTCTTTTTTTTAGACGTCCCTTTCCGTTCGCCGAGGTTCAGAAAGCGGTCTCCCGCTGGGAGTTTAGCCCTCCACACACATGTGCTTCTCTGGGTTCAGGGTTTATAAGGTTTTGGGGTTGAGGTTGGGTCTGGAGTAACGGTATAGGATTGAGGATCTGGGGTCTAGAGTTTAGGATCTTTAGGGATTTTGACGGGTTACCTGGACCCTAAAAACCCAGTTTTTCCGGTGTCGTGCATTATGGTTTTCATACGCGGGTCCAAAGAAACAAGATTCTTTAGGGCCCAGAGAGGGCTCGAGGCTCAGAAACTTCAAGCATTTGTTGTTGTAGAAGAAGCCGGTATGGCGACGCGATGGGGGGGAGCGGGCCGGGGAATGCGCATGGTTAAAAGAGGTATGGCCAACACCCCAAATGCCCCAAGCCCCAAGTACCAAAAAGAATATCTGTTGCAGAAAGGCTCGGATAAAACCCTGTACAGACCTTTAAACCCCTGGAGGATCTTTTTTCAGATTGAGTCCTTAGTAATTTAGTACCCCTAGCAAACCACTCGGCTCGGACCCTAACCTGTGGATCCAAAAACCTACCGTTTTAAGGGTCAGACCCTCTAATTAAGGGGTCATAACCTACTATTTTGTAGGGTTTGAGGATACAGGAAGTTCTTTACTTTGTATCACAGCTCCCTCGAAACGGATCAGGGAAAGCCCCCACGAATCCCTCAGCACAGCTCAAGCGAAGCATCGAAACCCAAAGCTCTAAAAGCCCTCGGCCAAGGGTTTAGGGTTTAGGTGGCGCTTAAGCGTGTTTTTGTTCCCTTCTGTCTGTGGTTGTTTTGTATAGACGGGGTATCCCTAAACCCCAAGCCCCTATTGCCTCCACCCCTAAAAACGGACTTCTGCCTGTGTTGGTCCTTGGGTGTTGAAAGAAATTCACACAGCCATCCCCAGGGAACTTTGTGAAACCCTACAGAACCCTCTCTCCCATACAACCCTATACGACCCCACAGGGCGCTGCAGAACCGATCAAAACCTTTCGTCAGATTCCATCAAAGCTTTCCATATGTTATCACTCCACAAACCCAACAGGATCTTTCAGTTGCTAGGAACCTCCGTGACAAAGATGGCCGCGAAGATGCCGTCCAACGCGATCCAGCCAAGCCACTCGGGGTTGTTGTCGAGAGTTATGCCTGTTGTAGGGGCGGGCCATGTTTTGGCTTTCGGGTCCGGCTTGCTCAGGTCTTCTAAAGCTTCCATATGTCTTCCACAGGTGTTTACCCAAAGGCCCCAAAGTAGTTCCTTTTTGGGGATCATATATAGAATCCTATAAGGTAATCCCACAAAGGAACTACTTTGGGGCCTTTGGGGCTGTAGTCTTCGGATCTGAAAGAGTTTCGGGCTTTCGGGTTTGGGAAAAACAAGGCCTCTCTTAAGCCAGGGCTGACTTGTACCTGAACCCTCAAGAACATACCTTTTTTGGGGCTCCTTATTATGACTTCTTTATACAAGTCCCTGAAAAGGTAGGTTATTCAGGGGTACAGATACTAGACCTACAGTAAGAGTAATCTGGGAAAATAAAAGTGCCCTTTTTGGTTTACAGGGGGTTATTACTTAGGCCCCTAAACCCTAAAACTCCAAACCCTACTCCCCCACTAAGCCACCAAAACACAAGGTTGAACTTTCTGATTCCTACTGAACTATAAGAACCCAAAAAGTTTAAAGGTTGGGCATTGGGGATCTAAGTTTATAGCTTAAGCCCTATAGACCCTATAGATCCCTTTAAAGGAACCCTTCTAGTATCCCTTTGAAGGAACCCTTATAGCACCCTTGTAGTAACCCTTTACAGGAATATGATCGAAACTCTAAACTCCACAGCGGCAAGCCTAGGAGGACGAAGCTTAGGATGATGGCAGCTGTGGAGAGCGAGATCGCCATGCTCACGATGCGCTGAACTATTGGGATCCTGGGTGTGGGGGTTCTTGGGATGCCGGTTTAGGGTTTAGGGCTTTTTTCTTGGTTTAGGGTTCGTTGGGGTTGAGGTTTAGGGTTCAGGGCTTAGGGGTCTTAGGGTTGGAAATTCGAACTCTGTGGCATTTGAGGTTAAGGAGTTTGGGGGTTGTACTGGGTTTCCGGGTTTCAGGGTTGAATTTAGGGCCGGGGGATGGCCTAGCATTTTGAGGTTAGGGGTCTAGGCTTTGACGGTCTTGTGATGTTTCGTGGGTTCTTGCTTGCGACAGCAAGCTTTAGGGTTGATGTTTCAAAGATAGGCTTCTAGTGAGGGCGTATGTCCAGGGAACTTCATCTTGGAAAACGTGGCTGATGCTCGCTGTAATCTTAGACTCCACCCTTGGTTAGTGATGCTGCTGAGTGGGTCTAAAATATAGGGGCCTTAATACTATAATTCGAATAAGGAATCCCCAAAATAGCATTGGTAATTATTTAGGCCCCTATAATAGCTCAGAGCTCATCCGCTTCCGTCCCAGCAGCGGGCGCCGCACTTTCTCATAGGCCATCAGCAGAGCACCTCACGACAAACTGCTTGGGGGCGAGTGACAGGGCCTCTGAATGGCCCTGAGCCCCAAATGGCAGTTTCCGATTGTTAGGGGCACCTTATTATGGGGTCCTTAGAATAAGGATCCTACTATTTAGGGTACTATATTAGGGTCTCCTATTTTCAGAAACCCCCATATCCCAAACCCACAATTCCGTACGAAGCCTTATGGTTACCAGATATCCTCTGAACTCCAAAATCCCAAACTCACAGTCCCTGACGAAGCCTTAAAAGCCCAGCACAAGGCCTACATGGCCCTAAGACCCCAAGGACCGCTCTTATCATCTTTGTAAGTTGGTTAGAGTAGCTTGAACTAGCGGCCTGCGAAGGTACAAAGGGGTCTGGAAAAAGTTTGGGATTTTTTTATTTTTGTTTGATTTTGTTTTTTGTGGTTTGCTTGGCCGTGTTGCATTGCCTTGCAGGGCACCGAAGATCGCGGGGGTTCCTTTCTGAGCCTGCAGATTTACAGCTGAGGGTTTGGGGCGTTGGGATTGGGTTTTAAACTCAGGGCTTAGAAATCGAACCTGTGTATGGTGCTGCGTGCTCAGTTCTGATACCATGGATTGCTCCTACGTTTGCTTCTCATGTTGCTATTGCTGCCCCTGTCGTGTTAAGTCTTGTGGCCCCTGTCAGCACCCTAAGCCGAAACCCTAAATTTAATATAATATAATATATACATAATATAATATAACATAATATAATATAAATTAATACAATATAATATAATATTATATTCTATTTCCTTATATTATATATTATTATATAATATAATACAATATAATATAATATAATATAATATAAGATAATATAATATAATATAATATAATATAATATAATACAATATAATATAATATAATATATATATATATATATATATTAAATTACTTTATTTTATATTATATTTATATTTATATTTATATTATATTATATTGTATTATATTATATTGTATTATATAATATTATAATATATTATATATATTATATATATTATATATATTATATATATATTATATATATTATATACATTATATATATAATATAATATAAAATAATATAATATAATATAATATAGTAGAATATAATATAATAATAGAATAAATTTTAAATATATTTATGTTTTATAAAATATTATATTATATTTATATTTAATTTATATTTATATTCTATATTATATTATATTTCTGTTATATTTTTTATTATTATATTATATTGATATTATTAATTATACTATATTATATTATATTGTTTATAGTTATTTATATTGTTTTATATGATATATTAAAAATTATATTATATTTTATTATATAATATTATATTATCATATATTATATTATATTATATTATATACTATAATATAACATAATATAATATTATATAATATGATATAATATTATATAATATATATAATATAAATATAATATAATATAATATAATATAGTATAGTATAATATAATATAGTACAATATAATATAATTTAATATATATTGTATTATATTATATTATATTATATTATATTATATTATACTATATCATATCACATCATATCATATTATATTAAATTATATTTTATTTTATTATATTATATTTTATTTTATTATATTATACTATATTATATTATATTATGTTATATCATATTATATCATATCATATTATGTTATATTATATTATACTATATTATATTATATTAGCCAAGAAGCCAGAAGCCAAGAAGCCAAGGAAACCGAGAAGCCGAAAGCCAAGAAGCCAAGGAATCCAAGAAGAAGACAACAAAAACCCGTACGACATAAGGAGGCAGTATGCTCGAAGCTAGACAGTATAAGAAGTTGCGAGGTGAAAAAGCCAAGAAGCCGAAAAGCCAAGAAGCCAGAAGCCAAGAAGCCAGGGAATCCAAGAAGCCAGAAGCCAAGAAGCCAAGCGCGCACACAAGCCAAAAAAAAATGCAAAAAAAAAAAAAAAAAATACGCCTCCAAAGTAACTACGCATCTCATTGACGGCCCCAAACATTCAAAGACGAATTTGCCGAGACCATACTTAAACCATCGCAAACCCTGTAAACTCCAAACCCCTATACCCAAGATCCCAATAGTATGCTTATAGTACGATAATGCCACCCTCACCCTTGTAGTCGCCTTAAGGAACTCCTGCTAACCCTCCACAACCCTAAACCCTAGACCCTTTTGCATCCAGGCCTATTGCGACTGGCCCTAAACCCTAAACTCCTTTTCCGAACGGACCCCTAAACCCTAAACCCTCAAAACTCCTCTGCGCCACCCTAAACCCTCAAAGCTCTAAACCCCTAAACCCCTAAACCCTAAACCCCGAAACCCTAAACCCCTAAAGCCTCAAAACTCCTCTGCGCCGGGAGGCTCGAGGTCCCTGTGGAGGGCATCTCATCCCCCAGCAGGGCACGTTGGACGATGAAGAGGCTGAGAGCAGTCTGTCCTGGTGGGCTTTGGGTTCCTTTAATCCCAGACCCCCGGGAGGATCTGGAAAGTAGATCCCCTAATTTGGGGCCCTATACTACTAAGGGTACTTTATAGGAACTCCCATTAAGGGATCTACTTTTTGGATCCTCCCGGGGGTCTGGGATGGGATCCCTAAGGGTTCCTTTACAGGGATAAACCTCGGGTTCCGTTAAGGGATCTGGAGGGTTTAGGGTTTACAAGGTATTTGTGAAGGCAACGGTTTTGCAAGACTTTCTGGGCCCTTTCAAGCGGTTTATGGTGGTTTCCCTAGAGGGCTTTATATGGGTGTCTGAACAACTAGCATTGGCAATCGTATCCCCCCTCCTGTACCTACTGCACTTATGAGAAACATGACAGTGACAAGATCATAGTAACCATAACCATAGTAATCATAATAGTCACAAGAACCATAAACATCAACATAGTCATGACAGTCATAACAGACATGACGATCACAAAAATCAGAAAATGACAAACATAGTAAGAACAATAACAAGCATAAGACCCAACATAATAACTATGATAAGAAGAAGGTTAATACCATCATAGCAAGAGTCACAATACCAACTGTATAATACTGATGATATCGATAATGCCAGAAGGTACCTCAGAAAACCGTTCCAAATATTCAGGCAGCAATGGTGCAGCTTTCGGGCTCTACGATTCGATGAGGGATGTACATAGTCCATGCGATGTTGAAAGGTCTGCCACTTTGCTGGTAAACACTCTATAGGAAACGAACCCTTTTCGCAATTGGGATTGGGGACTAGCCAGATCCTTGCATCACGGCCGTTACTACCCTAAACCCTAAACCTGTGCTTTGAAGCTCTTCCATTTCCGGCGTTGCTGTTCCTGTAAGCGCTTTTTTTTCGAAGCAAGAAATATTTCCGGGTTCTATCTGAGAAGCTCAGTTGTAGATAGGCGACTTGACACCTAGAGGAACTCGTCAAATCGTTTTAGGGTTTAGGGCTTAAGGTTAAGAGAATCTTGCAGTACCTGTTGCTAAGTACTCAAGCGAATTGAAAACAAATCCGGAAAACCCCAGTGAGTATTGAAGGATCGCGGTCCGCCAAAGACCCCAAAGTCCTTGAATCAAGAAAATTTCCTGCGACTACAGTGACTACAGTGCATAAGGATCCCATTCTACTTGATAGCATGCCCCTTAATTACCCGTTCCAACGTGACGAGATGTCACCACGTCAGTGTGTACCACCATGGTACTGGTGCACCATGACCTTCACTGCATCGCTTTTTTGTCCCTGTGTCATCAGTGGCATCTCTGGGTGCACGGTGTCGGTCCTTGCGTGTGCTTGGTCAAGTCCTCCAGAAGGATGCCTGGGTCTACGGTAGAAGCCAGAAAGTTGGAACGTCATTATCCTCCTGCCCTTATGGTAAAGTATAAAGGATCCTAGCACTAATCCTCCTAGAGCCATGTTCCAACTTTCTGGGGTTCACTATAGGAGTCTGGGATGTAAGGCTCCTTGCTCAGGGGTCTGGGGTCCCTCAGCCCTGACACATCGGGTCTAGGTTCTGGAATTTGAGGCTGTTGTTGTTCAGTTGAGGGTGTAGGGTTCAGGCTTAAGTTTGGGATTCAGCGAGCTCGGAGAGGATCCCTCACACGAGGAGACTTCTGGCGGCGAACCGTATACCCCAAATCTTAAACTCAAAATGCACGCCCACAACCCCTAATCTCAAACCGCAAACCTCCAAATCCTAAACTCACCAGTAAGTGGCCGAGGAGCAGTCCATAAACTGCCTCCAGGATATGGACGGGTATTGAGAAGTGACCTGTGCGGCTTTTGAACCCTGATCTTCTAATACCCCTAAGTTAAGGAATATGACTTAAGTCATGGTATGGTTCAGGGTTCATTGCTGTTTACGGTTTAACGTGCGTTGTCATTATTGCTTAGGCTTTACGGCTTAGGGTTCGTTGTACTTTAGGGTTTAGGGTTTGAGGTTGACTTTGTTGTTGCTTCTACGGTTGAGGGATCTTGATTGCTTAAGGTTTACGGTGTGCTGGTTTGAGGCTTAAGTCCTCCACAACTAGAAGGCAGAGCTCCAGGAACCCGAGGAAGCCGAAACTGAACCCTTGAAGGGAATCCTGAAACCCACCCAGACCCTACAAGCAACCGCTGTTTAAAAAAATCACCGAAACCCTAACCCTCTTGTCCAATACCTCAGGGAACTGACGGTTAACCTCGGAATCATATAGACTGTAGGGGCTATAACCAACGAAAAAGGATACGTAAAGGGTACCTACTCTACTACTAAGAGCCCTGATAGAACCCGTATAGAGCCCTTTATGGCACCCTTATAAAACCCTAACGCCCGTTGAAGGCTACCTACTCTACTAACCCTAAACCCTAAACCCCTAAACCCTCAAGAACACCACACCTTCATCGGCTTCCTCACTTTGTCGATGACCTTCTGGTGGATTCGCTTCAGCTCTAACACCTCGCAAAGACTTAGGGCCCAGGGTTCCGGGCTTCACGACTTTAGGGCTTAGGGGTTTTACTACCCAAAGGCTCCATGTACCTTTATAGTAGATACTCATGCCTTAAATGGGTCCCTATATATGACCTAAGTGATTATATGTACTATGTGGGTACATGGAGCCTGAGGGTTATGCAAGGTGAGCCTTGAAAAGGGTTTGAGGGGTTCTGGTAGGATTTTAAGTACTTACTCCCTCAATAAGCCACAAAAACAAAAGGTTGAACTTTCCGATTCCTACTGAACTATAAGAACCCAAAACGTTTAAAGGTTGGGCATTGGGGATCTAAGGGTAGGCCCTGCACCTGACAGTCTCCCTGAAACTGCCATGGAAAGGGTTCGGGGTTTGGTCTCAGGAGATCAGGGAATCTGAGAGGGGCCCGTCATAGACGGCCGTCCTTTTAACAGTGAGTTTTCATGTGGTTTTGGCGCAGCGAGGGTCACCTAACCAGCCTTGCCTCCCTATACTGTAGGTTTCCAGGTAGCTAGCATCTGCATACTGAGATTCTAAGGTATGTTATGGAAGTAACTTGAAGAATACTGCTGGGTTGATGAAGATAAACCGGATCAGTATTGACAGATTACGTTAATGACCACCGTTAGCACGTTACTCACTCTTCACATTGTGATATAGACGGTGGTGCCGGTCATGATGATAATGCTGATGACGACGGCCGTGAAGACTATGATGATGGTGGCGATAGTGATGATGATAGCGAAGACGCTGAAGAGCTTGACGGTCATGCTGATGATAATCATAGTGGCGAAAACGATAACGATGATATCGAACCTTGCCATAAAACTCTTCATGTACAGTTTTTTTTATTCTCTCCTTCTCTCTCCTTCTCTTTCTCGGACTCACAAGTTTTTAATTAAGCCACTGTCTGGATCTTCCAGTCCTATGATTTATATGAGAATTGCTCCTTATCTCGTTCTATATATATATATATATATATATATGTATGTGTGTCTCTCTCCCTATGTATATATATATATATATATATATATAAGTATACATGCCTAAGGTATGTACAGATGCACACACTTCTTAGTTACTATTGGCTGGCATTGCTATCCTTACTTGTTGTTGTTATATCTCTGGTTGTGGCGACTTTGCCGTCTGTGCTTTATTTCTAAGTAAAGACAGTAAAGACTGCAAACAGGCCGCAACATCCTCCATGTCCTCCATGCGAAGGATGGCCGAGAGCTGTGTAGACTTGTGATCCCGCGACTGCTTCACGGCCATGTACAAATCTCTGGGACGCACCATCTTTCCCTGCGCCAAAGGTTCGGGCTTTTGGATTGTTGGGAGCTAGGGAAGCGCCTAACACTTGGGGTTCCTTGGCTTGGGGCTTCAGGTTCCAATATCTGCATGATTGCCGTGAGTGTGAGGCGGTTTCTGCAACTCGCACATTTGAACTGTGTTTCTGTGCATACTTCGTGTTTTATCTGCCTATATACACACATGGCTGAAACTGCTTCTCTCTCTCTCTCTCTCGTATATGCTTCCATGGGTATTACTATACTATCAGCTCGTGACGCATTGTGGAGCTTGCGGCATCTGCCAGTTCTTGCAACGCGCCAGTCATCTCAGGACCGGGCGACATGACATCGGCGAAGTTGTAGATGAGATGCGTGCGCGGACTGCAGTGTCGTTCGTCCGTGATAGGGTTGTCGGACTGGGTTGCATTGTGCTGGCGCTTGGGTTAGCCATAGATGTGGCCAATCCTGTCTTGGGGCCAATGCCGGCCACCTTGTTCGACGAACTGGGCTTTGAAATGCTCGTGGCCAGACGGCCACTCAAGAACTGACTAATTGGACTTGGTGTCTCCTGCGTCCTTTGCAGCAGCAAACCTTAAAGCTGAAGAATTTTGAGCTGCAACTACCCGTTTTTGACCCCGTACTGAGGCGGATACATAAACCCCTATTGCAACTGGACTCCCACGAACGCCAGCAGCAAAGACGAAGGACTGGTGCCTTCCATCTCCACTCCCGTGCGTAAACCCCTCAATCCTAAACCCTAAAACAGTAAACCTCAAACCCCAAAATGTTCATCGAGGGGTCTATATTTACAATTACAATAGGGTTCTGGCTTCAGGGCTCAAGGCTTGGGGATACTTGCATACAGAATTTCTCCGAATGGGTGGTTGTCAACATTATGGTCCCATTTTGGATACCCTAAATATTAGGTGCAGTACTATATTAGGGACCATAATTTTGACAACCACCCCAAAAGATAACCTGCCTCACTCAGGCTTGCCTTTGTGAGGGCCGCTACCGCTACTTGGAGGTTCATGGGACTTAGTAACTACAGTTCTAAGTACCTTAACTGGGGTTAGAGCCAGTTATAAGTATAGTTACTTTGTTTATAATAGTTGCTAAGTCCCATGAACCTCTAAGTACAGGTACAGCGAAGTGACAAGGAGTGCTACAGAGGCAGGGTTTTCAGGTTCCAGGCGACTGCAGATCTGACAAAAGCCTTTCAACAAAGGCTCAAAACAGGGCTCCTTTAAGGGATCTATGGGGTTCCTTTAAGGGATCTATAGGGTTCCTTTAAGGGATCTATAGGGTTCCTTTAAGGGATCCTTATCCCTAAGGCTCAAAATGGTCCCCCAAAAGCCTTATATAGTATGGTCTCTGGCCCAAACGTTCTCAAAAAAGGAGTCCTTAGAGCCTTAGGGTTGAATTAAGGAACATACCTTGGGGTTTAGAGTTTAGGGGTTTAGGGTTTAGGGTTTCTATTCTAACTTCCGGTATTAACTATGAATCATACGGTTTAGGGTTTACGGTTTAGGGCATATTGGAGGGGATTCTGTTCTATTCTATTCTAACTTCTGGTATTAACTATAAGGGATCGTGGAAGACCTGGCACACTATTGGATGTAGACCGAGGCTCCATGGAAAGAAACGGCCGGACAAAGCGACTACATGAGAGTTTCCAAAAATAGGGGCCCCTAATATAGCACCCTAGATAGTAAGATCCTTATTATAAGGACCCCAAATTAGAACAAGGTATCCCTAATTTCGGAAACTCCCACATACACTGGCTTTGAAGCGCTGGATTTCGAACTCCTGGTTGAAAGCGCCCAGACCTTCTGCACCATCCGAGCGAAAGCCGCTATTCTTGAAATCCAAGTGACTGTCCTTCAAAACCTACCCCCTAGAACTTAAACAGCACTAAATCTCATTCGAGTCAATTCGGCTCCTCACAACTGCATCAGGAATGCGAAAGACTAACTTTACGAGCCATCAAAGGTGCTGTACCTGTATCCCCAAACCTTACAAAATAGTAGGTGATGACCCCTAATCATAGGGTCCAACCCCTTATACAGTACGTAGGTTTTTGGATCCCAGTGGTAAGGCGTAGTGTAAGCCCGATGAGCCCAAAAGTCAAACAGGAAAGCCCCGAACCGGCAAATCACCCTGAAGCTCCGGAAACCACATTAGGAGCTGGGATTGGCGGGACCCTTGCGGACATAGACCCTCTCAATAAGCTCCCTATTTAGGAGAGGCAGAAGTAGGGTTAAGAAGGGACCCCTTCTCTCAAACGCTCTCTAGACTCTAGACCCCATACCCCCAAAAGACGAACACTCAACCTGCAAGTACACTTCTGATGTTGCAGGCCTCGGAGCTGCGAAAGGCAAATTGCCGCTCCAGCCGCTCCACCAAGCGATCTCGCACTGTGCTGCCACGGAACAGGGCCTGGCAGATGCTTTAGGGTTTCGGGTTCAAGGGTGAGGGCTGCCACAACAAATCGCCTGGCAGTGATTGGGCCACACTCATAGAAGACCCATGAGAACTAAACAAAAACCTCGACTAGACAGGGGCTTCCGCAAATAGAGGACCCCAATATGGTATCCTCAATAGCAGGATCCTTATTATAAGGACCCCAAAATAAAGTATCCCTCATTCTCGGAAACTCCAAACCCTTTACAGGACGCTTATCGTACCCTTATAGTATCCCTTTGAAGGAACCCTTATAGCACCCTTGTAATAACCCTTTAAACTTACTCCCCCAATAAGCCACAAAAACAAAAGGTTGAACTTTCCGATTCCTACTGAACTATAAGAACCCAGAAAGTTTAAAGGTTGGGCATTGGGGATCTGAGTTTATAGCTTAAGCCCTATAGATCCTATAGATCCCTTTAAAGGAACCCTTCAAGTATCTCTTTGAAGGAACCCATATAGCACCCTTGCAGTAACCCTTTAAAGGAATATGATCGCTCTACCGGTGCATGTGGCCCTACGCCTTGCCCACGCGCTCGCGCTGGACGAGGGCCTCTGCATCCACATAGCCTCACAGCATAGGCGCCAGGGGCCCTTAAAGATCCCTTTAAAGGAACCCTAGGTATTCCTTAATTCCTACGGTTGATGATATAAAACCTGCATTACCCACAATAGGGAATATACCATAATTCGCATAGTCTAGGGTCCTTGAGGTAATGCAGGCTTTATATCATCAACCATAGTAGGGGGTACCTTAAGGTTCCTTTAAAGGGTTACTATAAGGGTTCCTTTACAGGTTCCTTTCTGGGATTTCCTTATTAGATTCAATATATGAACCACAAAAAGGAACTACTATGGAGCCTCTAGGTATTTTCGTTGCTTGAGCTCATCAGGTGCTACAGACTTTCTATGAGTGTTCAACTGTTCAAGATGTTGGGTTGAGGGGTTGGGTTTACAGGATTTTCTTTGGGTTGCTATATGTTTTATGTGATTTGTATGTTTTGTTCAAAATGGTGAATTTAATTTGGGCTTTGGATTTGGGGCCTGGGGTTTCGGGTTTAAGTTGAGAGGGAAAAGCTTTTGCACGCAACCCGGCTGCCTCTGTGATGCAAGCTTCATGACGAAGGGTACTGTTGTGATGGATCTGAAAGACTCGATGCCTTTGTTTTGCGACCTGTCTTGAGCCAGCCTCTTCTTCTTGCGAAGCCTGTCTGGATGACACACTGCGCTGGCAGTCCAATCAAGAATCTTCGAACCCCTAGAAACAACCACTTTCGAGACGAACGCGAGAAGGCACCTCCTGGGCTTCAGATACAGCCTAATATAGGGGCCTTAATGATTTGACAAGGGTTTTGGAGCACATCCTGCTATAACTATAACAAGCAGCCCTCAGGGATGTAATGGTAACTATAGGGCCCTATATTCATCTGGCAAGCGGCCACCGCAGTCCAGCACCCACTGCTGCCGCCCCGCATTCAGCGTCAGCGTCGCGCAGGGTGCCGGATGTTCGGTACCGGATATCCTTCAGTTGCAATGTGTATTGTGGCCATGCCCTGAAGCAGTAATTGATTTGTTTTTTGTATATGCATATATACATATCTATATATATATATATATACTATACACCAAATGTATTACAACAATACTAAAAGCTGTCGATGTTGTCGATATTCGTACTAGTAGACAATATCAATGCTACTATGCGGCAGGGTAAAGGGATGTCTAAGGCTTTATGCTTCGCTGGTTGCTTTGTTGTTGGTGAAAATCTAACTTGGCCCAGTCTTGCAACATATAATTGCTGTGTATTCAACGTGAACTCCCTTTCAGAAAGACCCTGCGTGCAGAAACCTACAAGCCCTAAACCCGAACACCATAAATCTTTACAGACCATGTATAAACCGTGAACCTTACACCTCGTAACCCCAACCTGTATCTCCAAACTCTAGCAATTGGTAGGTTATGACCCCTTAGTTAAAGGGTCTAATCCCTAAAACAATAGGTTTTTGGATCTCCAGGAAGAGCCCTAAACCCCAAATTCTGGAATTCAACAAACCTACACGAGACCTTACCAACCCTTAAGCCGTAAAACATTGCATCCTAAATCCTGGGCCCTTGCCCACAAACCATAAACCCGTAAACCCGAAACCCTGAAACCTTAGAAAGCCGTGCACGCCAAAATTCATAATTAGGGCTCTTCTACAGGCAATCAGGGAAATTAGAAATTCCGTGCCTAGTATAATATAGGGATTATAATACCCCAAAAAGGTTAAAGCTTACCTACTCTACTACTAGCTTCCTGAAGACTCCTTGAGAAAAGCCGTACAACCACTATGGGCTATTAGACCCTAAAGATCCCTATTCGGACCCTATTAAGGGTAGATTAAGGTACCCTTAAGGTCTAGTAGCCCATAGTACAACTTCCGCTTCATCCGAAGCTCCGAACTTCGATTTTGATCACTTCGGGCAGTGGGTCGTCCGGCACACGTACGCAAACATCCTGGGCTGAAGAGATGGGGCCTTGTAGGTGGTGGGGTTTAGATGGGTTTCGAAGGGCTTGGTAGGATTTAGTGGCTTTTGGGGCTTGTAGGGTGTAGCTTAGAAGCTGATAGTGACTATAAGGATTATATTGGGGCCCTATTATATTCCTACTATACCACTCTTACAGGGTGGGGGCAGCTTCTAAGGTGTAGGGTTTCGTCCGATCGAGGAAGTTGGCGATGATGCTCCCCAGGGTGGGTGCCGGCTTGAGGTCTGGCGTGGAAACTATGATGAAAACTGTTAAAGCCATTGCTCATAATATGAGGGCCCTATTAATAATTAGGTAGCGATTTCGGGTACGTTCTATTAGGCGGTTTATAATAAGGAACCCAAAGGAATATTATTGGTAATTATCCAGGCTTCAATATTACTGCTGTGCGTGGAGGGGTGGCAACATGCCAGCTGATACAGCTGATACTTATGCTGCTGTCGGTGCGGATGTTAGCATCCCCGGAAAGGCTAAACCCTAAACCCTATATATACCCTAATTCCTATACCCTAAGCCCCTGAACCCTAAAGCTTAGCGAGTCAGCTCTCAAGTCACAGCTCGTCTACAACGAATCTCGAAGCGGAAAAAGGCAAAACTCCCAGCCTGCATTCCTTGGGTTTCTAGCGCTTAGGGTGACAGGGAGGGGTTCTCCCTGTCAAGGACCATCTTGTCGACCGCACTCCAGCATGCCAGTGTATACAGCCACATTTGACCAGCTTTTCGAAGGTCCCTCATTCAAACCTACACACGAGACCGGCATTGTAGTGGTTGGCAGCATTTCCTGGTAAGAACAGCCCTGCTGCAAGGAGGCGAAGACCAACCCGCGAAAGCAGTTGTGTTACACGTTTTCAAATTGATTCTGCACAGTGCCGCTGTCACCACCATATGCAGCATCGCCCCACGTCACGACCGATCCGTTGCCGAGAATGGCAGCGAAAGCACGGTAAGAGGCTCCGACCTGCTGCACATTCTTCAGCTGATCCTGAACCGCACTACTGTCCCCACCGAAGCTCGGATCACCCCAGGCCAGCACAGATCCATCGCCAAGAATGGCAGCAAAAGCGGAGGTAGTAGCTTGGATCTGCTGCGCATTCTTCAGCCGATCTTGCACGGCACCGCTGTCACCACCGTATGCAGGATTGCCCCAAGTCACGACAGATCCGTTTCCGAGAATGGCAGCGAAAGCGCGGTCAGAGGCCCGCATCTGCTGCACATTCTTCAGCTGACCCTGCACAACACTACAGTCGGCACCGAAGCCAGGACTACCCCAGGCGACCACGGATCCATCGACAAGAATGGCAGCAAAAGCATGTCTGGAGGCCTGGATTTGTTGCACATTCCTCAGCTGAGCCTGCACAGCAGTACTGCAGCCACCACAGCTAAAATGACCCCAAGTCACGACACCTCCATCATCGAGAATAGCAGCAAGAGCGCCGGCCGAGGCTTGGATCTGACGCACATTCTTCAGCTGACCCCGCACATCACTACTGTCGCTACCGAAGTAGCCAGAACCACCCCAGGATATCACGGATCCATCGCCAAGAATGGCAGCAAAAGCGGAAGGAGTAGCTTGGATCTGCTGCACATCTTTTAGCTGCTCCTGCTGAGCAGCACTGTCACCACCTCCGCGGGCACTTCCCCATGTCACGACCGATCCATCGTCAAGAATGGCTGCGAAAGCTCTGCTAGAGGCTTGGATATGCTGCACATTCTTCAGCCGATCCTGCACAGCACCACAGTAACCACCACCGTCGGCACTTCCCCAGGTCACGACCGATCCATCGCCAAGAACAGCCGCAAAAGCGCTACTGGAGGCTTGGATATCCTTCACGTTCTGTAGCTGATGCTGCACAGCACTGCTATCACCGCCATTGCGAACATCGCCCCAGGTTACGACGGACCCATTGCCCAGAATGGCAGCGAAAGCCCAACCGGTGGCTTGGATGTGCGAAACATTTCTGAGCTGATCCTGCACATAGCTACTGTCCCCGCCATAGCGACCATCACCCCATGCCACAACGGATCCATCCCCAAGAATCGTGGCAAAAGCACGACCAGTGGATCTTACTTGAGCTGTGTTTAGATGCAAAGTCAGTGAAGCACCATTCTTGATTCTGGCATCACTGATCAGTGTCTGCGAATCCAGAACGTTTCCGGACGAGTCTGTCAGTCGGCCTTTGCCGACTCCGAGTGCGATCTGTGCTCGGTGTTTTAAAACTCCCACTTCGTCATTCAGTTCGGCTTTCACCGTAGCTGTCTTGCCACTCAGCAGCCCCACTTCGACTAGAATAGACATGTCGCACAATGCAACTGTGCCGGTTGCCATTTTCGCCAATGGCCCTGGGAGAGTCAAGTTGAGGCTCTGTTTTGTTTGGGTGGCTTCGCCACTTCTGGCCTTACAGCACCCTTAAAAGGACCCTTGCAGTACCCTTAAAAGGGGGCTTAGGGTTGGCAGCACAAGCTTGCTTCCTATGCTAAACATCTCTACATCATTGGGGTTGAAAGCTCTGGGGAACCTATTCCCATGTAGCTTTCTTCTTTCTTTGGAGTCGGATACCCGCGGAATTCATCGATCAGGATAAACCGGTATGCATATATACAAGAACACTTTACGATAACCCTAAGCCCCAAACCCTAGACCCTAAACCCTTTTTGAACCCGGGCTCTCTGAGGCCCTAAACCCCAAACCCTGATACAGGGTTTAGGATGGTTGAGGGTACAGCGAGAGTAACTAACGATTGCGACAAGTACGGAGTTCCTCCGGCAATCTAAAGTGTGTGGGCCTTTACAATCAGAACAGGGTTTTCAGGCATTTTCTACAAGAATAACGGCTAAATATCTACATGTGTAAATCTACATATATGTTTGTATGTACATGTGTGTATATATATATACTTATATGTACCACATACTTTTATATATATACAACAATAAGAAGGAATCCGAAGGACTAATGGCGGTAGCCAATTTCCTAGGGTAAGCCTCTTTTCTGAGCAGCAACTGCGGCATTGGAAGATCTGGGTCTATGAGCCCGATTGCACCTCACACACCTCACACCATGCCACTTCTCTGGAAAGCCGCAAGACACTCTCCATGTTGACCATGCAGAAACACACACACACACACACACACACACACACACACACACACACACACACACACACACACACACACACACACACACACACACACACACACACACTTTTCCTACTCACTGCTGCCATCCACAAGCTTCCGAGCAGCAAAGGCCCAGCAACACTTTAGTATCGAGACATACGCCCTAAATCCCAAATCCTTTTTGCATCCAGGCCTCCTGTGGTGTTGCCGGGTTATCAGCGCACTTGCACCGAAGATACGAAGGAAACAGCACTCAACATATGCGACCCCACTAGCTCTCGTGGCTAGGCGATCACTTGCTGAACTCTGAGATAAGCATCATGATTCAACACTGTCAGAAGAAGTAGGTTACCGAAGGACTGAAAAAGATCCACATGCGCAAGCTGTAGATCAGGCAAAAAGGCGTCGCAGTCATGCGAAGCTACGGAGAGTGAAATGACCCAGGCAGGATACTTCATACGAACGAGAGCGAGCGCCTCACACCTGAACCCCTGAACCCTAACTCCCTAAACCCCCAAACCCCTAAACCCCCAAACCCTAAACCCCCAAACCCTAAACTCTAAACCCCTAAGCCCCAAATCCTGAACCTTGGAACTCTGTGGCATCCGAAACTCTTAGACCAGACCTGCGCCCTGGACTCAAACCCTGAACAACCCGTTTTGGAGCCCTTAGGGTTTAGGGTAATGTAGGTTCCTTTAAGGGTTCCTATAAGGACCACTATAAGGGATCTATAAGGGTATGATAAGGCGTTCTATAATGTAGGAACCTGCTTAAGAAACCTTGGGCCTTTTTCAGGGTTCCTTTAGGATTTAGGGTAGGGTTTAGGATTCCTTTAAAGGGGTCTATATAAGGGTTACTAAAAGGGATCTATAAAGGTACTATACTAATGTAGGAACCTGCTTAAGGAACCTTGGGCCTTTATGAGGGCTCCAAATTCTGAACTCTACTTTGGGGTTATAGGCCCAGGGATTCTAAAATTTATGGTTCCTATTATTAGGGCTCCTTATTATGAATCCTGCTATTGTGGGGTTGTAGGCCCAGGGTTTCTAAAATTAGATTCCTTCCTTCGGCTGATGGACAAAATCCTGCATGACCCATAATAAGGAATGTATGGAAATTATGGTATATTCCTTATTACCCTGGGCATCAAAATAACCCAAAAGCCTTGTATAATAAGGTCTTTGGGCCCAAAAGCCTTAATATATGAGTCCTTAGATCCCTAAACCCTATAGATCCCCTTTATAGGACCCCTTAAAGATCCCTTTAAAAGAACCCTATATGAGTCCTTTGATGCCTAGGGTTATGGGCCATGAAAGATTTTGTGCATCAGCCGTTACAACCTCTGGGTCGAACTTTCCTTGTTCTGGGGGGGACTCCAGGGTTCCAAAGCCGGGGTGCGGTTTCGGGTTTCGGGTTTAGGGCTTGGGGTTTAGGGTTTGGGGTTTCGGGTTTAGGGTTTAGGGTTTAGGGTTTCGGGTTTCGGGTTTCGGGTTTAGGGCTTAGGGTTTCGGGTTTAGGGTTTCGGGTTTAGGGTTTCGGGTTTCGGGTGTAGGGTTTTCGGCGCTCACACTCGGGCAATGGGACAATGCAGGTTCAGGGTGTAGGGCGTCTCGGACTTTGAGTCTCATAAACCGTAAACCCTAAGCATGCAAATGGGAAAAACATGACCCCATCATTTCAGGGCTATAACCCTTAAGCTGATAGGTTTTAGTGAATCCACCAGTAAACTTTTATTATGGCCCTATAGAAACACAACAAAAGCACCGTCAAACTCCATAGGCAACCCTTAAAACTTAGCGGCTGAGTACCCTGGCACCCAAAAGGTTAACATTTTCAATTATGGTAGGGTTGTATAAACCCCAGAAGGTTAAAAGTTACCTACTCAGCCACTTACAGCCCTTATACAACCCCTATAGATCCATTAAAACCCTAAAACGGTTACCTACGCAGGCACTTAGTGCCCTTATAGAGACCCTAAAGATCCCTTAAACGAACCCCTTGTAATACCCTAAACCCTAAAAAGGCTACCGACTCAGCTACTAGGAAAACTGGGTTGTAGTTTTGGGGCTCTGAAAAGTATTTATGAATAGGTACCTCTATAGGAACCATAAGGGAAATTAAAAAAGAAATTCCCACTTTGCACCCTAAACCCTAAACCCTAAACCCTAGACCCTAAACCCTCAACCCTAAACCCTAGACCCTAAACCCTAAACCCTAAACCCTCGACCCTAAACCCTAGACCCTAAACCCCCCAAAAAAAGAGCTCTCAATGACGAGGCAAAGAGCAGAACCATCTGCACTCCACTCGGCTTGCAGCGTCCTCAGTCGCTCGGCGACTTTCACTTAGGGCTTACTTAGAGGTTCATGGGACTTAGTAACTATGGTCCTTTAAGGGTATATAGGGTTCTATAATAGGGCTCTCTTTAAGGGCTTAGGGTTTAGGGTCTACTTAGAGGTTCATGGGACTTAGTAACTATGGTCATAAACAAGGTAACTATAGTTATAACTGGTTATAACCCCAGTTAAGGTTCTTATAACTGTACTTACTAAGTCCCATGAACCTCCAAGTAGGGTTCAGGGCCCAGGGTCTGGGGTTTGGGGTAAGGATTTAAGGTTTAGGGTTTAGGGATCATTCAACTTCACACTTCGCAGAATAGTCCTTAACTGAATAAGCTTAAAGTCGAAGGGCTTGGGTTTGAGGTTCCGAAGGGCTTCCCGGAACACAGCGGTTTATAATGTTAGTAACAATAATAACTATAACGGCACTAATAATAATGATAACAATAAGGCTCGTTTGACCCTATCCATGTAACCCAGCACATGAGATACTACAAATGCCCCAAGAGAATATCCAGTTGTGTAAGGTTTGGCTCAAGTTTCGCACAGCTTATGCGGGGATTTTCCGGTTGCTGAGTCGTCAGGGGCGCCGCCTGCCTCGAGTTTGCTTCTCGATGAGGTGCTTCTGTTGATGATATAAATCCTGCATTACCTCAAGAACTCTAAACTATGGGAATTATGGTATACAGTATTCCTTATTATGGGTAGTGCAGGATTTGTATCATCAACCGTTCTACAAGATCAAAGAGAGAGGGTCACATAGCCGCGCAAAAAAGAATCGACAAACCCTAAAAGCGAGCGGCTTAACTTGAGATGTTGGAGCTCCAGGCATAAGATAATTGTTTGAGATTCATATAGGTGTGCTTAATCATTTCAACAGGGTTTGGGGGATATGTTACATCATGTTGAGATGGGGGAGCCCGAAGGGGGCAGCAGTAGTACTTCATCAGGCCCCATTCCCTAAGGCTCCATGTACCCATATACTATATACTTAGGCCTTAAAGTACCTATATAGGGACCCCTTTAAGGCTTAAGTATCTACTATAAAGGTACATGGAGCCTTTGGGATTAAAGGGGCCACATTTCGGATCTGCAGGGTGCAGATGCAATTCCTCGGGCCGGCCGCGCCGATGCCTTGTGCACATTACTTACCTTTGGTTACCCTCAGGGTCCATGTACCCATATAGAGATACATGAGCCCCAAAGTACCTATATAGGGACTACATTAAGGCCAATGCATATACTATATGAGTACATGGACCCTTAGGGTTAGGAGGGAATGGAGGAATGGAGTACCATTATAACTACTGTTACTACCATTCTTCCATTCCCTACTAACCAAACGTAAGATTAGTCCGGGGGCTTGGTGCCATGTGCTTAAGACTGTAACCTTGAGCCCTGCACCCTTGTAATTGCACGTGTTACACTGACCACGGGGCAAGCATGGCGCCTCAATGTACCTAAAACCCCAAGATACCCCAAGCCCGAAACCCTAAGAGCTTAAAGGTGTACTTTTCAACTGCGGACCCAATTACCTTAAACACAGATTACTAACCACATATTATGCGATCCAGAAAGCCATTTTTTAGATTTTAGGCTGCTGCCGTAGGCCTGAGGTAAACCAAGGAACCCGCCCCCACAAGAGAGCAGAAAGAAGTATGCAAGAACGTATTCGCCCAGAATGCGGATCCCTTCAGCGCTCGTAATCCTTACCGTCCTCGCCAAAAACCACAACCAGAAAATGCAACAAGAAGCTGAGGGTCTGGGATTTTAGTAATTTTAGGGTTCCCAAAACCCCAGATTCTGAACGCTTATCTAAACCCAAACCTAAACCCTAAACCCTAAACCCGAAACCTAAACCCTAAATGCTAAGCCCAAGTTCAAGGCTACTGTCCGAGGGACACTTCCTGGTCTATCTGCCCAGGAAGATCGCAGTCCCCACCCTCCTTCGACAGCAGTTGGGGTTGAAGTCCCTTAAGGGTCCACTACAGTAGTAGTAGTGGTAGTAGTAGCAGCAGTAGCAGTAGTAGGAATAGTAGGAATAGTAGGAACAGTAGGAATAGTAGGAATAGTAGTAGTAGTAGTAGTAGTAGTAGTAGTAGTAGTAGTAGTAGTAGTAGTAGTAGTAGTAGTGGTAGTAGTAGTGGTAGTAGTAGTAGTAGTAGTAGTAGTAATGGTAGTAGTAGGGTTTATCGCGTTTAGGGAAAATTCGTGGTTTAGGGGTTTAGGGTTTGGGATTTAGGGGTTGAGGGTTTAGGATTTAGGGGTTTGGGAGGTTTCGGACTATTCAGGGTTTAGGGTCTGGGGGTCTGGGGATCCTTATGCATAATACATTCAGCCATTCCTAATTACAGTTGGTAGGGGCTGAGTAACCAATTACCCTTGCCCAAGAAAAGTTAGCCTTGCAATTATGGCGTAGGATTTGAAAAGCCCCCAGGTTAATTAAAGGTTACCTACTCAGCCACTAGGAGTTTTAGACAAGACCGCGGGAACTCGTCCAGATCAGCCTAGTATAGGGATCGAAATATTAGAATAGGGTTTTGGGGCCACTATACTATAACCATAGTAAGGAACACCCAAGATAGTATAGGTAGTCATTAAGGCCCCTATATCATGCTTGGAGGCCCTTTTGACTTAGTAAGTAGGGTTAGTAAGGTGGGTTATGGGGATTATAATGGGGTTTCTAGGGGATACTAAGTAGACTTACTAAGTCAACAGGGCCTCCAAGTAAGGGTCCAAGTACCTAATAATCATATACTCTCATAAAAATTGAGCTACATAACTACTATCCGAAACCCAAGTACCTGATTATTGGGTCCTTTGGACCCTTAGGGTACTGCTCGCATGCTCCACACCTTTCTTACGGGACTTGGGCGTGTTTTGGGGTTTAAGGGTTTAGCTACAAGTGGGAGTTTCCGGGAAATTAGGGGACCCTACTTTAATACACTAAATAGTAGGATCCTTATTATAAGGATCCCCCAAAAAGTTACCCTACGGATTTTTCGGAAACTCCTAAGTCAAGCCAACGCCATTTGAATTCAGTACGGCTCGAAAATGTTGAAGCCTACGGCAGATCGTAAACCACTTCAAGCGACCTGGCCGAAAGGGTCCTAAAAGTCCATATAGTAAAACAGATGTAGGTTTTCTATTTGGGGAGTTCCTATTCTGAACTGGGGAAGTATCCCCCATAACAGTACCTAGGACCCTACTTTGGGTCAGCTACATCTCTAAAGCAAAGCTTAAATCCTAAACCCTAAACCCCTAAACCCTAAATGTCTACTCACGGAGAGCCCTCTAAGACCTGGTACTTCAGGCTCGTTATGACTTGAAGTCCGGTGACGTCCCAAAGTCACCTGGTTTAGCCAGACCCAAGAGTAATGTAGGAAGAGAAAGGGCGCCCTTTTTGGTTTAAAGGGAACCTGAACCCTAAGAAAAGGGAATAAGGGCCTACTCTAGGTCCTAGTTTAGGTTTTAGGGTTTAGGGTTTGGGGTTTACGGGTTTATAGGGTATGCTATGATGAGAAGACTTCATTATGCAGTCTTAGGGGCTGAGGGCTGAGTACCCTAGCCCAGAAAAGGTTAACCTTTTTTAATGAGGGCAGAAGTATACACACCCCAAAAGGCTAAGCTAAGCCTTTATAGTACCCTTAAAGGAACCCCTTATATAAACCCCTAAAGGCTAAAGGTTGTCTACTCAGCTGCTAAGGGAGCTCCGCCTGAGCCCTAACTTTTTCCCCTAGTCAAACCCCAAACCCTAAAGCCCTAACCCCCTTAATCCTTGAACCCCTCTCACTCACTCTCTCTCTCTCTCTCTCTCTCTCCCAGGCATTCGAAACGTCAAGCCCGGCTGTAGGACACAAATGGTCCCACGTGACCCTTGAGCCCTAAACCCTAAACCCCTAAACCCTTATGGTACCCTTGTAAATCCCTTAAAGGAACCCCATATATAAAAACCCTAAACCCTTATAGTACCCTTATAGGTCCCTTAAAGGAGCCCCATATATAAAAACCCTAAACCCTTATAGTACCCTTATAGGTCCCTTAAAGGAGCCCCATATATATAAACCCTAAACCCTTATAGTACCCTTATAGATCCCTTAAAGGAACACCGTTTTTTTAACCCCAAAAGCTCGGCCTAAGCCCTGGTTTTGGGAACTTCCGCTCTCTCGGCCCGAGCCTGCTCGAGTCGGAGATCGGCCTCCTCGGTCTCTCCTGGCTTAGGCTAGGGGTTTGGGGTTTAGGGGTTTAGGGCTTAGAGGTTTAGGGATTAGGGGTTAGAGGTTTAGGGGTTTAGGGTTTAAGGTAATGGAGGATCAGGAAGTAAGGTTATAAGTACCTTAATCGGTGTTATAAGTACTTATAAGCATGGTTACCTTATTTATAACCCCAAATACTAAGTGCCACGATCCTTTAAGTAGACCTAAGAGTAGCCTAGGAATAAAAAGGGCGCCCTTTTCGGGTTAACGGGTGTTATAAGGCAATCTACACCCTACAAAAGCGAATAAGGGCCTACCCTGGGTCTTAGTAGGGGTTTCGACACTCACGCTCGCACAACGCAGGCAAGGCTGCACAGTCCCTAGGATTAGGGGTTTGGGCTTTCGGATTTAGGGTTTTAGGGTTTAGGGTTTACGGCTGGGCTGTCCCCATGGTAAGACACAGGGGTGCACTATGAGAGCCCTGAAATTTAGAATAGTGTTTATTATAAGGGTTTCTGTGAGGGTGTAGCTTCAGGGTTTAGGGTTTAGTATACTTATACCATAATGGTTTCTGTTCGGGTGTACTATAGACGCCTTGGCAATTTGAGAGGGGTTTCTTATAATGGTTCCTTTTAAAGGAGGGTTGCTCTAATGGCTTCTAAAGGGTGCACTATAGGGCCTCTGACATTTGGAATGGGGTTTAGGGGTTTAGTATAGTTTAAATGCTATAACCGTAACTGGGAGCCCCAAAATAGCAGTGCTGTTCACTATTTAGACCTGTATATTAGGGTGTAGGATGTTTAAAAAGCTCATAAAGGTTCAAGGTTAAGGGCTTCAGGGTTTTAAACCGCCATTTCGAACAATTTCAGTCTCCAATTTCGCGGCAGGTCGGGTCGTTGAACGATCCTAATCCGGCTGGCACTGTGTGACTGCATGGGCTATAGATTCACTGGCAAAAGGGAGAGGGGGTGTTGACGATGGTAAGCACCCGCAGCCGCACCTGCTGCATACTTCTGGTGCAAAGTGCGGCCAAAAGAACTGTGCTGCGATCACTGGCGCTGAATCAGCTGGCCATGTTTTTTTTTAACCCAAGCTTCGATGCGGCTCAGCTGGGAAGCCGCTAGGTTTTTGTACCAGCCACTGCAAAGCGCAAGTCGGCATCTGCAAGCTCTTCCACTACCTCACCTGCATGCTCTGGCGGCTGCAGTCCATTCGCGCGAACCGTCAGGTATGGCTCGTACGTCAAGCTAGCATGGCCACCGCCAATTTTGTCTTTCAGTGTGATGTGCGGCAGCGACACATCTCTCATAAGAAGCGCACTGGTAGCCGACTCCTCTCCCAGAACTTCATTCATCTCCTGTCTGCTTGAAAACCGCCTGCCCGCCGAAATTGTAGGGTGTAGGGTTAAGGGTATGGGGACAGGGCTTTTAGGTTCGGGGTTAAGTTTTACGGGGTTTAGATGGGTTTAGGGTTAAGGGTGTGGGGTTTAGGGAGTACCGTTTAGGGTTTCAGGGTTTGTGCAATGGCGCTGTATGGTCTTATGACGCACTTCGAAGGCTGTAAACGGAACTTGAAAGGGATCTGCAGGGGTTCTGTGAAGGATGTTCTGCAGGAGGTTTACGGGATTTTTTAAGCAGAGCTGGGGTTTGGGGCTGGGTGTTGAGGGTTGTGGAGGTTTTGGAATGTTTAGAGACGGGACAAGTCAAAAGATTAAAGCTTGGATGCTCGGGGATCTCCCTACCACCCTGAACCCTACCACTACGGGCTATTAGACCCTAAAGATCCCTATTAGGACCCTATTAAGGGTAGATTAACGTACCCTTAAGGTCTAATAGCCCATAGTGGTACCTGTATCCCAAAAGTATGCAGAATAACAGCCTTTTGTAGGTGTTGGGCCATGAGTTTGACTAGTTTTGGAGGTTCGGGCATACCCTATATCACATGAAGGGGTCCTGCTAGATCTTAGAATAAATGCGCTGCCCAGGTTCCTTCGTCTAAGTCTGAGTGGACGATCACGGAGCACGTCGCCTGGCAATGCTCGGAGTTTACCAATGAACCAAAGAATCTAAACCCTACTTCCTCAACCAAAAGAGCCACATGAAAACACCTGTGGAGGTTCATTGGGCTTACTTAGCAAGCACCGTTAGAAGTGCCGCAAATGGGGTCATAAATAACAATATGTATGGCCCGTATGGCTACCCCATGTATAACCCTAGTTACGAAGCTTTTTGAACCTCCAAGCAATGTCTCTGCAATACCCCTGAAACGGCGCCTGCAGTTCCCCCATCCCCACCGCCAAAGGTATAATGAAAGATCCCCTACAGTATAGGGCTCCAGTTACCTAAAACGCAAGTTATTAACCATATAACATGTAATGTAACCCAGTAACCAATGAGTTATTGACCAAGTAGTGGTTACCCTAAACCCTAAACTCTTTTTGCAGCAGGCCTCGTTGTCCAGCCTAAACCCCATTTAAACCCCACAAAACCCTAAACCCTAAACCCAAAATTAATGGGCTACCTATTCTATGGCTAGTAACCAACTAGTTGGGTATCTGGAGCCCTACAGTTGATGTTGTCAGTCCTGCACTACCCATAATAAGGAATATGCCATCATTCCCGCAGTTTAGGGTCCTAAAGGTAATGCAGGATCTATATCATCAACCCTAGTGATCCCTTTGTCCCAAAGTCTCCATGTACCCATACAGCATAGACTTAGGCCTTACTTAAAGTACCTATATAGGGACCCCTTTAAGGCCAAAGTATCGACTATAACGGTACAATAAACCACTAGAAGGAGCTACTATTGAGCCTATAGGGTTTAGGGTTATGGGTTCAGGATTTCGGTTAGGGCTTTCAGGGTTTAGGGTTTACCGTAATACCTGCGGCCTCAAACCCTACAAAATAATGGGTTATGACCGACCCCTTAGTAAGAGGGTAGAACCCTTAAAACAGTAGGTTTTTGGATCCACAGGTAAGGTTTCGGTTTAGGGTTTAGGACTTCGGTTCAGGCTTTTAGGGTTTCGGATTAGGGTTTTGGGCTCAGGTTTAGGGCTTTTGGGGATTGGGGTGTTAGGTATGTGTACTATTACCTCACCTTAAAAACCCAAACATATATTTGAGAGGGTTTTTGGGCGTGGGGTTTAGGTTTAAAACTTCTAAAAAACCGGATATAAAAGCATCAAACTCTCTTAAGCCCTACCCCTAAACCCTAAACTCTAACCCCTCAACCCTAACCCCTGAAGCCCTGAACCCTAAGCCCCGAAACCCTTATAGTAACCTTATGGATCCCTTAAAGGGACCCCTAAACCCCTAAACCCTAAATCCCTTGAACTTCCTTCCGGGTTGTAGCTTTGGGGCTCTGAAAAGTATTTAGGAGTAGGTACCTTTATAGGAACCATAAGGGAAATTAACAAAATTCCCAAATTGCCACCTAGCCTTCAAGAATCCTACCAGAACAGCCCGACAAAAAGGTGACCTCGGCAAGGTCGATCCCTCGGACAAGGTGTCCTGGAAGAGAAGGGACCAAAGAGAGGTAAAAAGGGGCTCCTTTAGAGGGACCTATAGGTGCTTTAGGGTTTGAGGGTCCGGGGTTTAGGGGTGCAGAGAGAGCTTAAAAAGGGCTCCTTTAAAGGGGCCTATAGGTGTTTTAGGGTTTAGGGTTTGGGTCCAGAGAGAATTGAAAAGGGGCTCCTGTATGCTCCTTTAAAGGGGGTTTTAGGATTTGAGGGTTTAGGGGTCCAGAGAGAGTCTAAAATGGGCCTCCTTCCCTAGGCATCTGAGGACTCATATATTAAGGCTTTTGGGCCCAAAGACCATAATATATAAGGCTTTTGGGCTATTTTGATGCCCAGGGCTTTAAAGGGATCTAGAAGAGCTCGGAGCTATAAGGGATCTATAGGGGCTCCTCTGAAGGGATCCAAAAAGGTTCCTCCCCTTGAGGATTCCTACAGGGGATCCATGGGGCTAGGGCGTTTAGGGTTTAGTGTGTACCTGTGGATCCGAAAACCTACTGTGTGAAGAGCTGGGCTGCTAGGCCATGTATTTTAAGGGTTCAGAACCAACTATTTTTGTGGGGTTTGGGTTTACAGATATGGCTTAGGCGTTTGAGTTCTTGTGCCTTGGAGTGTAGTTTTGGTGGTTGGGGTTAATTATACTTTCGGAGTTTAGAGTTTACAGAAGAGAAGGCCCAGATCGGGAGTTTGGAGCATTCTTTACCGGTTAGGACTTAACGTTTAACATGGGCTCTGGCATTACGCACTCTCTTTCTGTCTTGTGATGCTCTGTGTGGGCTGTTTAATGTCTCTTCCTGTTCTGTGGATGATTAAAGGGTTCTACACCCCCAATGCGTGGGCCCTGGGCCCCATATTCAGCCACACAGTACTCTAAGCCCCAACTCCCAACCCGGAACTCCCTCAACAGCACGTCCCCCTAACTCTCAAAAGTAGGGTTGCTCGGGCTTCGAGGATTGCGTTGAGTTTATGGCCTGGATAATCACCAATACTCATCCTAAGGGTTCCTGTTTCAACATAAATCATCACAGACTCCTTTGAACCGTAATTCTTACAACTCTCAAAGCCTCCCTAAACTATACAGGCCTTTACACCCTAAACCCTAAATCCTAAGCCCGAAACCCTAAACCGCACGATCTGAGTCCTGGCAACCCGCGGATTTCGAAGATGTTGAACCTGGCAAGAGCTGAGCGGGCTCAGAACTACACTGCCCCCTTTTTACATGTTTTTGAAGAACCCTGAAGCCCCTAAACCCCAAATATCGGACCCGACGGTTTGAGGTTTATATTGAGTTACTAACTGAAACTTCGACAGTCTGAAACACTTCTGAAACCTTTCCTTTGAGTGTGACACCTAAGGCTTGAAAACGAACAGCCTACGTACCCCAAACCCCAACCAAAAGGAACCTGATGCCCTGCAATCCGGAGCCCTACTTAGAGGCTCATGGGACTTAGTAACTAGGGTTATAAATAAGGGCTCCTTTTAAGGGTACGACTAGGGTTCTATACTAGGCTTCCTTTTAAGGGTCTACGGTTTACTTAGAGGTTCATGGGACTTCGTAACTACGGCTATAATTTGGGGAACTACACTCATATGATATATGCACTTATAATCCCAATTAGGGCACTTATAACTGTACTTATCCCTAAACTGCCCTTATAGAAACCCTATAGTACCCTTTTAAAGGAATCTCTTTAGATCATGAACCTCCAAGTATCTCTAAGACTGCAAATCACTCCGGGCCTCATCCCTACATACCTGGGGATCCAAAACCTTACTGTTTTGGGGGTTAGACGGTTTAGGGTTTAGGGTTGAGACCCACTAACTAAGGGGTCATAACCCACTATTTCGTAGGGATTTGGGGATACAGGTAAACCTTCCAAACTCTACACCCCTACTCACCCCAGTGCCAGCCTCAGCATGCAGGACTTTTCGACGCGGGCGGTCTTCTCACTTCCTCTCCGTGTCAGCCTCGGATGCGGCACTGTCAGAGCCCATAGGGGCTACAATGGGCCTTAGGGTTGGGCGGTTCAGGGTTTAGTCTTTGGTGAGGGATACAAGACGAGTGCTTTCTGGGATATAGCCCTAATGCTCCATCTACGCATAGAGTATATACTTCGGCCTTAAAGGGGTCCCTGTATAGGTATATACTATATGGGTACATGACGCCTTAGGGCAAGGATAGCACAGCGACTCAGGCTCGAGAGGGATTAGGTTCCTCAGCAACCCCTTACAAATACGGGTCCCCTTGTTCCTACTAGTAATCTTCAGTTGCCAGCGAATTATAAACCCCCACCCCCGGCAACAGCAATTTAAAGAGGCTTTGTAAGCAGTTCTCGACTCCCCTAGTCGAGCCAGGATTTTTTTGAGAGACCCTATTTTTAAAAACTAAAGAATTTTATTAATACCGAAAAAAAGAGTTTAATAAAATCTATGTGTAATCATATTTCCTCAAGAAGCGAGTTTTTATTAAAAACCGAAAAGATTTGAAAACCACTGCAAAATCAAATGTTCTTCAATCAAACATCTACCCAATACCCAGAAACTTGGGCGATCTTTTAAAATCTCAGGGTGGGGCTGGGGGGTGTAAGTTGGCCGATGATTCAATTTTTGTTTAAGAAGGAGACCCCAAAATAAAAAGGGCCAAAGGGTATATGCTAGTCAGATAGGGGCCTCGGGCATTCCAAGGGCTGGATATTGCCGACGAACAAAGACAACAAGTGCGACGGTCCACGAAGCAAAGAACGGTTCCTGATGGTCCAGGGTGCCTTCTTCGCTCTTCCCCGGTTCTCTGAGAGTTGTTCGGTCTTCATCAGTTCGCTGATCCAAAGTGGACTCCTCCATAAACTAGGATACCCAGTAACCTAAGAATAAAAAGGCCTCTCTTTTTGGTATTGGGTAACCTTATAAGGAACCTAGGACTACAAAAAGGGAATAAGGGTACTACTGGGCATCCTAGTAAACCAAGTGGTGCCAGGGCCGCTACGGCCGTTGCATTCCAGTGGCTTGACAGGGCAACGCCGAGCAAAGCTGCAGCTCACTGTAGGCACGAAACCCGACATCCCGATTCTAACACCAAAATACCGATGTCGATACTAAACAGCATACTACGTAATTTTGACGAAGCACCGTGCAATGAAAGACGGCGCACAGCCAAAACAAACAAGCAGCAAATCCAGTTGCGAAGCTTCAACAGACAACCTACTGACACCCTGAATGAAGCACAAAGCATGGTTCATGGCAAGCGGCTACTACACTCCTAAACCCTAGACAATAAAACCATGAACCCTAAAACCCTAAAGCTAGCTGTAGCTCTCAAAACCCAAGCCCAGCCGCTGACCTGAATAAAGCTCAGAAAGACACGCTAAGCCCACAACGACAGCTCCCAAACCCAAACATAGTGAACCCTGCCTCCTAAACCATTCCTGACCTCTACCTGGACCCTATAAAGCCTTCCGCTTTGGGGTTCCGTATTGTTATAAAAATGTAAGATATTTCGGGTCCAGGCAACCCCGAAATCCGGTCTTCCGATACACGACCCCATTTCTTAAGTGCTATGTCCTAAACCATCACACATAGCAAAGAGGCATCTCCGGCAGTACCGGGCGCGCGGGGCTGAGAGGACGACTCGACTCTTCCTCAAGGCCTCCGCTCAACCCTACTTGAAGGATAATAGGAGATAGTAAGTAAGGTTGTAAGTACCTTACGTTACTGGAGGTTTTAAGTAATTAGCGGTATGGTTACAGTATTTATAACCCTAGTTACTAAGTCCAATGATCCCGTAAGCAACGTAAAGGCAAGTCGAAAAGGGTTCCTTTTAAGGCTTTCTTTAACGGGCTCCTATAATTAAGGGGATACTACAAGCGGTTTGTAGGGTTTTAATGTGGGGTCCTCTAGTTAGAAATAGAGTCTTAGTACAGTTGTTTAGGTGACTTTACAAGGATAGTAAAACCTTAAGCCCTAAACTGCCCTAACCGCTAAACCATCACCCTATAGGGGACCATGTACCCTGCGGATTTTCTTGGAGTGGCTGCTTGAATTCAAGCTTCTAAACAGGTTGTATAGGCCTTCATGAGGGGTTGATACTCCATGTACAGGATTGAGAGCTGGGTTCTACAAGATATCTGTTTGACCACACCGCTGCGTAATAACACATTATGTGGTTCAGGATTCTGCTGACAATGGGAGCTATTAGACCAACCACTTGCAGAACCTCAACCTATACATAAGTTCTCAACCAGAAAACCTGTAAACAAACACTGAACAAGACTCCTCAACCTCCGACCGAAGACTTCAGAATCCCAGGCAGGCAACATCCCAAATACCCAAAATTAAAATGCGCAACACTCTCTCTGATCCAAACCATTATACACCCAAAACTGAAACCCCTGCACACTGAACCGCAATTCAAGCCAGTAATAGGTTTGGGGCCCATTATACTATGATTGTAATAAGGAACCTCCAAAATAGTATTGGTAACTATTTAGGCCCCTATAGTAAATCCTTTCAACACCGTAAGCCCGAGCTGTGGAACCGAAAATCATAGCAGGAAAGCCTGAACCTCCGGACCAGCACAAAACCCCGGCGTTTAGGGTTTAGGGGTTTAGGGTTCCGGGAGACGTAAACTCAAACGCGTAAACCCTAATTAAACTGCAGCCAACTAAGCTTACTTCTGAAGCACGTGGGAAGCACCAGGACCGAAAAAACCGAACCCTTAAGCCCAGAAAATCCACTATCCCCCGGAGGTCCGAGACCTAGACATAGAAAACCCACACCCTTGAGCCCCTTAAACCCCAGGCATTACCCTTTCAGCCCTAAGCCAAAATCGTGAGCTCCTCAACCCAAACAGTTAAACCTAACAGATTCGAGCTTCTACGCCCTCGCACCTTCAAGCCCTGACCCATCTAAAATCTTAAAACCCCTGGAGACATGCGATGGAACCTTTGTAGCACCTCCCAAGCTACATACCCAAATCCCAAAGTAAAACCCAAAACCAGGAGAAAAAAAACACACCCTATTATACCACCCTTGTCCCAAAAAGCAACCCAAAACCCAAAACCCTAAACCCCAAACCCTAAACCCAAAATCCTAAACCCGAAACCCTAAACCCAAAACCCAAAACCCTAAACCCAAAACCCTAAACCCAAAACCCACAACCCAAAACCCTAAACCCAAAACCCTAAAGCCAGACGAGCGGCGCTCCATTGGGAAGCTCGGTGGCGGCATCGGTGGCGCTGCGGCCACGCGGAGTGGGCCCAGGCTGGCCTGTGAGGGTGGTGGGACCGGTGGGATTCTGCCTATGGATCCTTTAAAGGGGTCTATAAGGGTTCCCTTAAAGGGCTCCTAGAGTTTTGGCGTTTAGGGTTTCAGTGTGGATCCGAAAACCTACCGCTTTAAGGATTCTACGGTTGATGACATAAATCCTGCATTACCTTAAGAACCCTAGACTATGGGACTTGTGGTGTATTCCTGATTATGGGTAATGCAGGATTTATATTATCAACCGTACCATCTAAGTAAGGAGTCATAACCTACTCTTTTTGTAGGGTTTGGGGCCACGGGTTGGGATTATGGGGTTTAGGATTGGTCTGATTAGTGGTTCTCGCAACTCGGACCCAGCCTCTGAGTTCGCACGTGCGGTTGAAAGGTTTAGGGATTGGGGGTTCGGGGGTTAGTAATTATGGGTTGGGGGTAGTTTAGGGAATCGGATTTAGGGATTTCTGGTACAGGTATTTCGAATTTACAAGCCAGGGGTTGGTAGGGTAGGCCAAGCAAGTCGATTATACAGTCGACGAATCAATGGCTCGTTTGGAAGATCTCCATTCTGTTCGCCTCCCTGGATCTTCAGGTTTGCTAGCCGCCGAATGGAAGGAACCCCACAAATGCACCCGACTGTTTGCGCCTACAGTACTGGCTCCCTGTCGGAAAGACCTTTGTCGGGATACCCTACATGTTCAAGGTTCTTACCGTCGAATGGAGGGAACACCACAAACAAACACAGAAATACCCGACTGTGGGCTGACTAAATGCTCCTTTTGTAAGCTTCCTTCCAGGACGCCTGCATTTTGCAGGGTTTTGGCAATCCTTCAGGGGAGTCCTTGGCAACAGGAGACCACGAGTAAGTTAGGTATATGCAGAGAGGGGGGATCATAAAGGCTCCGCCTGAGTAGGCTCATAGCTTGCCTAGAGACTCCAATATCCCTTATATACGGTTAATATACCTTAAACTATAGTAGGTCCCCTACAATGGTGTAGGGGATATTCCTTATAGTTACGGAATATTGGAGTCTCTGGTTAAGGCCAAGCTTAACGGCTGGAGCTTTGACGAATTTAAGCCGAGACATCCACCGGTGCTCTTTGTGCGATTGAGAAGCTGAAAGGGGAAAACGATCCTTGAGGTGTTTGAAAGGTTGGATAGGGTTTAGGGTTTAGGCTAGTAAAATTCCCTTATAGCCCCTAGTATAATGATAGTAGAACATATATCCCAAACGCATTAAGGCTCCGTAATCAATGACTCAACCGATGTTAATGTGGTATCCCTTACAGAACCTATTGAAGGAGCCTTTTCGGAGGAGCCCTCGCCCTATTGGCGATGCATCTGCCTCGCTGCTCGTCGTCTGAATGGAAGCCAAGGATTGCCTGCCTGTAGTATCATTCCACTACAGGGTTTTGGGCTGTTAACAGGCATGGATAGGGCTAAGTTTTGTGGAATTTTGCAGAACGGTTTCATTTTTTGTCGGGAGGGGTAGATAAGAGGCTTGTATACTAGTTCATATTGGGATTTATGGGCCTGCGTATACTGCTGTGCAGCCATAGACTTGAGAGCCCGTAATGTAGTGATGATCGTCCACGATTCGGGCGTCTGATGCTCCTGTTGAGTGAACTTCGCGACCGAAGTGTGATAATACAACGTGCAACTGCCATTAAGCAGTCCTGGCAACACGTGGTCTCGCCGCAGCAACACGAGCGGACACAGCAAAGGCAATTGGTCCAATACCTGACAGCACCACCTGCGGCTCCACTTAGTTACCAACTGCTTCCAGAGTATCATTTTGGCCTGGAGCCCTACTTGGAAGATCATGAAACTTAACACTAAGGTAGTAGGTGCCCTACTTTGGGTTACGCGTGGTAACTGGTATGTATGGCTACCTAAACTTTAACAACCCGGAAATTGTGTTTAAGTCTCGTGTTCCTGCAAGGGTCCAAGGGTATTACTTGCAGACCTGGAACCTCCCATGCAACCCTCATAGAACCTGTAATACCAACCCCGTAGCCCCCCGCCCCCCTCCCTTCCGGAAGACTCGCACTTCAGAAAACCCATCAAGGGGTTTCCGAAAATACTGGACCCTAATATAGTACCCTAAATGCCCTATATAGCAGGATCCTTACTATAAGGACCCCCAAAACAAGGTACCCCTGATTTTCGGAAACTCCCATCAACCCTAAACCCCCATTCCCAAAGCCAAACCCGCCGGCTCAGGAAGGGGCCACGCAGATTCTCCAACTCATCTTGGAGGAGCTCTACCTCTCGTTACTTTACGTAAAGGGCTCCTTAAAGGGATCTAGAGGGTTCCTTAAAGGGATCTATAGGGTTTAGGATTTAGGGTTAGCTCTACCTCCCGGGGATGAGGGCCGGAGTGATTTGCAGTCTTAGAGATGCTTGGAGGGTTCATGATCTAAAGGGATTCCTGGATTCCTTAAAAAGGGTACTGTAGGGTTTCTATAAGGGTAGTACTTAGTAAGTACAGTGATAAATACCCTAATTGGGATGATAAATACATATAAGTGTAGTTACCTTAATTATAACCTCAGTTACTAAGTCCCATGAACCTCCAAGTAGAGCTTGTAGAAGGGATCCTAGAAAAGTCCCTTTACACGGATCCTTAAGGCTCCCTTTAAAGGGATCTATAAGGGTTTAGGGCTTGAGGGTTATTCGGATGGTTTAAGGAACCCTAAACCGTTTCGGGTTTATCATGGTTTACAGTAGAAGCCCAGAAGTTGGAAACCCCATCGCCTCGATCCTTTAAGACTAATTAATGTAAAGGGAATCCCAGCACTATGCGGCCTTAATCCGCCAACTTTATGGGGTTTACTAAACCCTAAAACCCTAAACCCCTAAGCCCTAAACCCAAACCCTAAACCCTAAACCGTTGCAGTTGGGGAGGACCCTCGGCCCCACTCCCGACAGACAAAGCCCTGAAACTCTGAGGAACCCACCTTTTTAGCTCCTTCATCTGATTTGGGAGTTGCCGAAAACAGGGGACACTAATATAGTATCCTAAATAGTATAGGAGCCTTATTATAAGGACCCCAAAATAAGGTACCCTCCTTTTCGGAAACTCCCATTTCCGTATGACAGGAGTTTCTGATGTATTCAGAAGGTAGGTTTGTAGGGGTTACGGGAAGTCTACACAAAACTATGAGGATGTGAGGGTTTACAAACTCACAGCTCGGAATCAACCTTTCGCCGAGCACTGCTTAAGCGTGAATCTCACCAAGAATGGTGAAGTCGTCATGCCAGAACAATATGCTGGCATCGTCGCTCATGTGCATTATATACGAGGAAAACCTAGCAGCCGCCGTAAAGGCACTGAACCCTACACCCTGACCCGACACTCTAAACACAAATGGTCCCAGGGCGCCCGGTCGAGAAGATTGCAACACAGACACACGAGTCCGCAACACGATCGCAACCCTAGAACTAGGCATCAGGGCCCCAAGCCCTAAACATCTCAACATAAGCGGCTTCAACCCTAAAACCTGGACCTTAACCAGAAACCCACGGTCATACGACCGCACGGCTCAGCCTAAACCGTTGTGCATCCAATGCTCTACTTGGAAGGGCAGGGGACTTAGTAAGTAGGTAATAAGTAGGGTGATAATTGGGGTAACTCCACTTAGGGTACTTATAACTCTACTTATAACCTACTTACTAAGTCCCTAAACCCTAAACCCCATAGATCCCCTTTAAGGAACCCGTCTTTGGGGTGCTCATGGCATCCCTTCGCCCGAACTCCTAAGGCTCCATCTACCCATAGGGTTTAGGGTTTAGGGTTTAGGGTATATACCACTATGGGCTATTAGACCTTAAGGGTACCTTAATCTACCCTTAATAGGGTCCTAATCGGGATCTTTGGGGTCTAATAGCCCATAGTGGTACTTAGGCCGTAAAGTACCTATATAGGGACCCCTTTAAGGCCTAAGTATCTACTATAAAGGTACATCGTGAGAAATCTTGGATTATGCGTTCACGGCTGTCGAGGAGGACCGCGCATCAGCGTGGGTCCCGTCACGAACGCAACTGAAAACTTCATGGGCTCTCTGGACCAACAGCATGTCTCTGTCCCATGCCTGGCCAGCCACGCATCCCACACGCTTCCATGATGCTGTTATCTGAGGTGACAAGGACCTTAATACTAATAATTTTTACTAATACTATTACTGTTCTTATTTATGATTACAATTACTAGTATTATAAATGCATGGTCGCACATCAGTGCGACGAAGATCGAGAGCTGCTCTGGCTTGCGGGCCCATTGCTGCTTGAACACCCGCCAACGCGAGCTCATGGATTCGTGAAGTTTAGGGTTTAGGGTTTAGGGTTTTAGGGTTTAGGGTGCGTGTTCTGATCTATATAAAGCCATTACCCAAAGGCCCCAAAGTAGTTCCTTTTTGGGGTACATATATAGAACCCCAAAAGGTAATCCCAAAAAGGAACTACTTTGGGGCCTAGGGGCAGCGCGCGCGCGCGCGTGGAATACCCGGGGAGGACATCTAAAACGAGCTTCATCTAAACAGTGGTTTTGGGGGTTCCCTTGGCTCTTTAGCTCCTTATTTAATAAGGATTATCATCATCCCTGGCTCCTTAGCTCCCATAATATCAATGGTCTGCAGGAGTGAACCTCCTCCGCTGTCCAGCATCAACAGCAATGATACCCCTTAATTTATAAGGAATAGACCTTAAACCATGGGTTCCTTAAAGGGATCTATAAGGGTTCTATAAGGGAATTAGGGAGTATACCTTAAATCATAGGGGCCTTGCCAAGGATTTTTTCCAATGGGATTGTCTTCCGGTCCACCCGTGCCCACTGGAGGACCATATAACTGATGGGAAGCCAAGAGGCGGGGGTTAAGATTGTTGGGGTAGGGCTTCCTTAATATGAACCCTATTATTGGAACCCTAATCCCTACTAAAACCCCATATCCTAAAACCCCTCTTGGCCTCCTATCAATAACCTAAGGACTCATATTTGAAGGCTTTCGCGCCCAAAGACCATACTGTCTCAGGCTTTTGGGCTATTTTGAGTCTGAGGGATACGTATTGTAACTCATCAGATCTCTAAAACGTAAACTCGACTAAGATGTCCTGGCATCTACGGGGCTTTACGCGGGGTTCGGGTTCTTCGTGCGGGCTAAGGTAAACCCTAAACCCCTAAGCTCTCCCTAAACCCTAAACCCTAACCCCTAAACCCTAACCCCTAAACCCTAAACCCTTGTTGTGGAAGCAAGGTCTCCGTGCCTCTTGCTGCAGGCGCCTCCATGGGTTAAGGGAGGGTTCGGAACCCAAATAGGAGTTTTAGGGTTCTGCGGCTCTAGAGTACCCTAAACCCTAAACCCTAAGACTACTTTAAGGCCAGAGCAGATGCAACATGAATACATGGATCTTTAAGGTAAAGAAATCGTAATAAGGATCCCACAAAGGTAGGTTTTGAGGGCCATACATAGGTAGGCTTTGGCTTCAGCGTTTGAGGTTTGGGGCCTTGCATGGGGCTTTAGGGTTTAAGGGTTTCTGCAGTTTACGGCTACTTGGAGGTTTCTTGGCGGCTTATGGGACGGAGACGGGCTTAGCAAATACAGTTAGGTAAAAGTAGCTTAATTTGGGGTATTATATATACAAGTACAGTAGAAGCCAGAAAGTTGGAATATCATTATCGTAACCCCTTTAAGGTAAATTATAGGGGATCCCACCATTAATCCATATTCCAACTTTCTGGAGTTCCCTTTAATTAGTATGTATAGTTTATTTTGAACCTTTAAGCAGGCTTCACGGTTTGGCGCTCAGCTCCCCAGTTCTAGGCAGCCTCTAGGCCTGCAAAATGGGGACTTTTGGGGGGTTCAGGATTTAGGGCTTTGTGGTGGTTTAGGGTTTAGTGTTTAGGGTTTAGTGTTTTGTTCGCGGAATTTTTTTTTTTGACATGAGAGACATGGCTAAGCCATCCCGCGACCTCAACCTGTACAAACCTTCGAAAAGCGGTTACAAGAAGCAAAACTATGCACTGACTGGCGGAGACAACACCGCCGGCATCTGACTCGACGGTTGTCGACAAATGGCTCATGCGTGCAGTGGACTCCCAGAACAGCGAACTGGTACCCTTTAGAGCACGGCAGCTCCATACAAGCAATGAGGCGCTGCCTACGCCACAAGCTATTCAATTCAAGTCCACACCGCACACATTCTGCCTGCCGGCTGCCTCCACGTGTTTTGAGTCGGAAACTATGTTCAGGATGCGTAGTGGACGCATGCTCAATCAGCTGCACCCTAGTAGGAGGTTTGGGACCCTGGATCTTCACATCAGCCTGTTTGGGCATGGCTTCTTGCCAAAAGCCGTATCGCTGCATCAACGTTTCTTGAACCTTGCGACACCGGCCATCGACACAAGCGAGCAAGGCAACACGACGGTTGAGACACCATGCATGCGCAAGCTGAGCGGCAACGGCGCCCGCAACCCTGTCAGCCTCCTGGTTGGCGACATACTGCCATTGCTCATCGGCTGCATCCGGGGACTGGTGAGAACGGATCCAAGTGGCACGACAAGCTGGTCTATCCTGACACAACAGCTTTATGCGCAACCAAATGCTAGGATTCGCCAACCGTTCCAGAGCCTCACAACTTTGTCTGCCAACTTTCCTTAACCGGCGTATGCACATCTGTGAGTCACTGCAGAAATCAATCACACCCTCAGTGTATTGGAAAAGCATCTTCATGGCATACGCTTCGGCAAGAGGGACAGTCTGATGTTCACCCGGAAGTGGTCCTCCTAACGTGGCAAGTACATCATACGGCTCAGTTCGACGAATCGCAACAACGCTCCATGCACACAACCTCAAGCGCGGTTCGTTCGAGTATGGGCCTCCGGACCCATCAGTGCCAAAGAAAAACTCCGACGCATCCAAGCAACGATAGCCTTCCCAAAGACCAGTGGCCACACAGCAACTTTGTGCCTCCGTCACGTATGCCTCACATGGCAGCGCAGTAAGAGAGGCCGGCACTAAACCACGTAACCACAAAGACTGCAAGCCTTCATCATCCAACGACATCTCCCATACTTCAGGAATGGGGCCAAAGCGCTCACGCACGGCAGGGCAACGCCATAGCTTGTGTTTCAAACTGGCATCCGGACCACCGCAAGCCGAACAAACTTCCTCCACACCGTTGTGACTGGTTGGCAGAGTGCCCTGCAAAACATGCAACAGCAGGTTGTGGTCATGAAGACGATTTTGCTTCAATAATCCTTTCAAGTGTTTGTGAGCGACAGTCAAATCGCAACCACAAGCCAGGTCAATTCCTCCCTGGTGCCTGGCAGCCTCGCGCCACAGGTTCCGCTCACAACTCCAAGCGAGGCTGTCAACGAGAGTCCTAACAGAAATGGGATCCTCCAACGCAAATTCCCAAGACTGACCGTCTGGGTCTATCCAACGGAATAATTCAGGGAAATGCCAGCCAAGGTCTTTGAGGACACACATGCAAGCAGTCATCGGCCCTCTCGCGTAGGCCCAATGAACACGCCGTTCATGAAGTTTAGCCGCTTGGATCCTCCAAGCCCTGCCAACAAGCTCCATTGCACTGGACCGTGTATGCCGCAACAACTGCAACCAAGCAACGACTTGATGCACAGGCAACGCAAACTGGGGATCAGCCTCCTTGGACACAAACAATCTGTAAGCCGTCTGGAGACAACCCAACTTTTTCCTGAAGCAAGCTCTTTGCGCCAATTGCGCCCGAAAGGAATGCAGCATCGTTTTGGCCAAACCCGACGCCTGGTGACCCCAAGTCGCAGTGGGCATGACATTGCCCTTCACCAATTGTTTCCTCTTACCACGCGGAATCACATTCAATCTTGAAGCCCTTTGCAAGCCTTTATTTATTCTAGCACGCTGCACGCCAACACGTCTGCACCTAGCAAGCGTGGTCTGCACTCCTAAATCCTTCAACGCAGTACAAACTTTGGGGTACTCAACCCCAGTCTTGTGCTGAGCAGCCTGCACAAGTCGCTTCAGAGGGGTGGCAACAGCGACATGGGATGCCAAGAAACCGGACTTCTTCACTGAAATTTGCAACTCAATTTTAGCAACATGTTCGGCAAGGTTTTCATAGAGTGCCACAGCACGCTGCGCCAATCTTTCAGGGTTGTAGTCAACCAAATCAAAGGACAGATCATCCACCCAAGTATCCGAAGCAACCAACCCCGCCGACACCTGCAATGCCTCCATCATATCCCACAAGTACAGCTTGGCCAAACTCACTGACAGGCTACAACCGGCCAAAATGCCTTTCAAGGGTTGTATAAACTGGGAATGCATATTTTCAGCCATAAGGACGCGAACGCCGCAGTGCACAGGGACCGCAAGCGCCAGTAAACCTGGCGGATACTTCCTCTTAAGAGCAGCACGCAAAAGTATCTGAATGTTCATCTGATCATAACAATGCTTCAGATCAACAAGCACACTCACTTGATACAGCTGCGCATGCGGCAAAATCTCCGCTCTAAGCATTCTCGCCATACTGGAACAGAAAACTGTCGAACCAGCAACTGCCCTGTCCCACGGGCATAAGGGAACCACCTGTTTCAGCCAAGCTTCCAACAAATGCAATCGACTCTTGATCAACACACGATACCAGAGGGACGTGAGGGCAATCGGACGTTCGGACTCAGCATTCTTTGGTAGGAGCGCATATCCTACCACCGTCAAAGGGACCGGCCATTGGAAATCTTGTTGCACTTTGCGATAAAAATACGCCCACGCAGATAGCGACTCTTTGGGAAGGGCTTTGAGCTCACCAACAGACCACCCATCCAGGCCCCCCTTCTTGGAAGGGTATTGTGTCAGCAGATGCTGCAACTGCGTGGACGAAATGGCCTTTTCTTGCGCAAGCTGACAGCGTCCAAGCTCAGTCAACTGTTCCCACTCAGGCCACTCCTGATACCTAACACCTTCCTGGGCATCCCCCCAAATCTGGACCCAGTACTTCCGTCTCTCTGCCGGCCTGTGCTCAAAAACCACGTTCTGAAAGGGTCGCACATACGTTTCCTGCTCTTTCCTCAAATACGCGTGCATCTGTTTCGGCGTGAGCAAACTGTCGGCAAACTTCTGCCTGTAGAAATCACGCCGTTTCCCAAGCAAAAGACCAACGAAGTGCTGCAAGCATTCCATTGTTTTGGCGCCATAAAGACAAACAGCCCTCTGAAAACTCAATAGCATGTGTCGCATGTTCTCAACTGTACACCATGCATCAAACTCAGGCCACCAATACTTGGACAGAAGAGCGGCTTGCTCTTCCAGGACTTGGTGAATCCTCCGCTGGAGTCTCAGCGGTACCGGCCTACTTGGGAGCATCAAGTCTCCAACCAAGCGCCTCAAACCACACCAATAGTTAAGGTCACTCGAATCCCATTTGTTGTGGGCAGGCTTGGCTTCCAGTTGCGGTCTGGTCCCATATTCAAGGAACGTGCCACGCCCTTTTGCCACAGGTTCAACAGCGACGTCCAACAAGTAGACCTCGGCCTGTCTTGACCACCTCGCAAACTCTTCAGTGATACTTCGTTGCTCGCTCGTTTTGGCCACACACCCAAGGATCTGAAAGCTTCCATCGGTGGTCTCAAAATGTTCCCAAGGCCTTCTGGGGCCATACGCACCAGGGACAGGATCAATGCTGTTGAGGGCAGGCACCATGGCCTGCTGCCATCGACCCTTGAGTGTCACGCGTAGGCCATAGTGCGGCCGAAAAGGCACCATGTGATCAACAACAACTTCAACACAACCCTGCAAACTCTTGCTCACAATCAAGTAATCCAACTCACTTCCAGTGGCTATGGTTGGCATTTTCACGTCAACGATAACGCCCTGCAATTTGCGAGCGAAGCCGGATTCAAACAAAACCTGTGGGGCCAGGTTGAAATCAGCGGCTATCACCCACGGGCATGTCACGCTGTGCACCGCCGCAAGCAATTCACGCATGAGCTCGTAGTTTTCTTCTTGGTACAAGCCGCCATCTTTGAAGTATGCCACAAGCAGCAACAGGTCGCACCCTTTCCTCCGGATGAAGATGCTGTTCCATCTCGGGTGCACCCCCTGAAACTCATCAACCGGATTTAAGTGCTTCCGGGCAACCGCAAAGACGCCAGCCCTAGTCCCACCAGCTTCACTAGGTGCAGCTGGTGAGTAGCTACCTTTCCATCCCGACTCAACACACTGCTGTTTCAGAAGGTCGAGATTACTGCCGACTTGGTGGTGCTCAGCAACCAAGAGGCACTGTACGTCTTGCTCCAACAAGAAAGTCTGCGCAGCACTACTCCAAGTCGTTATGTTCGCAAACAAAAGGGTCAGATCTCTGGCGGCCTCACTACAGCTGTTCACTGGATCAGCGAGGTCACCGTTCCGGCCAGTGCCCGCGGCTGTCACAATGCCACGCGACTGCAGCTGCTCCACAGCTGAGTTGTGCTGACATTGCGCCGCGCTGCTAGGTTGTACATGGCACGCCGCCCGCAGCTGCTCCAACAAGGCCAGCGATGGCTCCATCAACAGTTGCAGGCACAAGTCCTGTATGTCCTGTCTACAGGCCACACCTAGCAAGCCACGCCCAAACTGCCACGCTAGCGATACCTGCAACCAAAACTTGGAGGGAGAAATCTGGCACCGCATGATGTCCTCAAGATCGGGCCCTTTGCTACCCAAACCGCAGCCCTGCCAAATCCTCATATGCATCTGGGTCCCAGTTGGCCCGTGGCACCGTCTGAACCTTCCTTCGCTTGTGCTGCAAGTCAGCGTGGGCACACTTCCGTAGCAAGGCCTCAAGCATCTGCTTCTGCTCATCAGTCTGCAAGGCTCCTTGCAACGCTTTGATGTTGTCCTGCATCTCACTGTCAATGCCCATGTCGCCTTCGTCCTCCATTGGACCTGCTCCATACGGTTCCAGCTGTCTGGTGACAATCTGGTCCGAGTACTGCTTTGCCAACCGGTCCATTTCCACCTGCGCCTGCACCAACTCCTCCTGGAGCTGTTGCAGCTGCCTCTCATGGTTCTGGAGCGCAGCTCTGGCCTGGGTAACCCGGTGTTCCCCTTGCAGCTTTCGCTGGCCGAGTGCCCGCAGTACTCCTGCTTGGGTCTTAAATGCGCGGGCAAGGGCCAAGTCAGGGTCCTGGCAGTCATTTTTGGGCTCCCCCTGCTGCGGGCGCAGCAGTTGCTGCAAAGGTGCCAAAGCCTGCTTAACTTCATCTGCCCGATCTCCTTCCTCCGCCACTTGCCGCACTGCTCCAAGCACATCCTCGAGCAGTTTCCGCAAGTCCTCTGGGACGGCACCTTGTGGGTTAGGCACTGTCGGGTAGCTCTCCCTACCAGCCCAACCCCATCTACCATGATCCTGCCATGCTTCTTCCCCGCGGCTCCAATCTGACTGTAGGTGGAGGTCGTGTCTACCGCGCCACGCTTGCCTATCCCGCTGTCGATGGTTGCCCCTCTGAGTCCATCCAACCCGCTTGCCGCCCATGAAGGGCTGGCCACATTGACAGTACGGATGTGTGGGCAACCGATCAGCGAACAACCAAGAATGACAATGAGAGCAAACCACATAACTGCGGTTCGACATTGCAAGCTCCTACTTTCGAGCGTTCCCGACTTGGGCATCACAGCTTCTTTTTTTTGTTCGCGGAAAAAGACTTCGAAGATTAAACCCGAGAGCGACAGCCCGGGGGTGCTCTACAAAATTTTTATCGAACTCCTTAACAAGCCTTACGAACTATTTGCTAAACCGCTGGGCATATGTGTACCTTCTGCAAACTCTTAAAACCACAAACTCTTGCCGATCCTCTAGCCACCTGTCCGCCATAGGGTTCCCAAGCGCCATGAGGCCAAGAACCATAAACCTAAGGTCCTAAACCTTTATGAGCATTTATCCAAATCGAATGTTAACCTACAAGACCATAATGCTAAGACCTGCTGCCTCGCTCCAGTCTCTTTTAGGGGTCTAGGGTTTAGGGCTTTAATTAGGGGTTTAGGGTTTAAGTTTAAGGCGTTTTAGGCTTTGGGGTTTTAGGGGGCAGAGTTTTAGGGTAAGGGTTCCCTACCACTTGCACCACCCTTTACATCCCAAACGCCCCCCGGCCTAGCCTGAAAAAACATCATCGAACCCCAGCTGAACCGTTTGAAAGTGGCATTGATGCAAACCCCAACGCATCTCACTTCCAGCCCTATATCCCAAATCTCTAGATTATTAAGCAAGTTGAACCAAAAACAACAAACAACCATGTCTGTAGTTATAATAGGTCATACCAAACAACAGGAAGCACGCAAACTAGAAGTACCTTTTGAGCAAAAACCGAACAAAAACACATACAAAAAAGTGATGATGTTCTTGAAGGACGTTGAAGGAATCCGTCCAGAACCATACAGGACTCTTGAAAACTCGTGCAACAACCCATATAGCACTCTTCTTGGACCCGGAAAGAAACCGCGAGAGGAAGCCTTCTAGAACTCTTGAGGATCTCCTAGCCGTGTAGAACCCTTACCTTCATGATCATGGGACTTAGCAAGTAAGGTTATAAGTACCTGATTTGGAATGACACTTATAACATATGATCAGTGTAGTTATAGTAACAAATGACTAATAATGCCGATGATCCTTCAAATGTCGCTCCAAACCCCAAACCTTCAACACAACTAGATCCCTTAAAAGAACCCTCTTGAATAACCCCTTTCACGGACCTCTCTTACAGGGCCCTGAGCCGTTTAAGGCCTTAGTTGCTGAGCTCATCAGCCCAGAAAGGTGCACACTTGCAGTTCTAAACCCTAAACCCTAAACCTTAATGGGGTCATCTTCTTCCAAAAACATGTAAAGTGTACTCACTCAGCTACTAAGAGGCCTTAAGGGTTCCCTTTAGGGGTTCTTTCAAGTGTACTTCGAAGGGTCCCTTTAAGGATTTGCTTTTCGGGTTCCTTTTGAAGTCTCCTTCTAAGGGTTCCTTTTAAGGGCTCCGGGAAGAATGACTCCCAAGGGTACTCATATATATATATATATATACACACACATGTAGATATACATATACACACGCGTGACATATATATATATATATATATATCTATGGATGGGTATATATACGTATATATATATATATGTATCACGAACAACTGTTACGGACCCCCCTTGAAGGCCTCACTTCCAGTTCCTGGAGCACTGCGAGCTCCGCGAGTGAGGTCTGCATTTTCTCCACCAGCTGCCGGCTCCTTGGGGGGTTCGCTTTAGGGTTCCTACAAAGGGATCCTTAAGGGTTCCTATAAAGGGATCTCTAGGGATTAGAGTTAAGGCTTTAGGGTTTGGCATTTAGGGTTCAGCGTTCTCGTTTAGGGTTTTCGTTTTAAGGTTTCATGGTATCTTTACCCTTATTGGGAATCTATAAGTGTCTTATACAGCGAATCTAGCATATCAGCGCTCAGGGCTAGGGGAGGCGTTGCTGTTTTAACAACCACAACGCTTTGGGAAACCCTATAAACCCCAAGCCCATAGAAACCCCAAGCCCTAAAGCTGAGAGTCTCTGAACGGCTCGGCAGGATATCCTTTGGGCTTTTCCGAAGGCTGGGCAAGACAAGGTCAACCCTGACTTTCACATAAGGTTTAGGGTGGGCTTAGGGTTTGGGTTCCCGGGTTTAGTGCTTCCTGTAAGGCTTCTCGTTGGGCTTCTAAGCCTTCTCTTCGGGCTGTCTATAAGGGCATTAAGTTTATACTGGGTTTCTTCAGGGCTTCTTTATATGGGAGTTTCCGAAAATGGGGGAACCTAATTTAGTACCCTAAATAGTAGGAGAATTAATATAAAACCGCAAAATAAGGTACCCGTAATTTTCGGAAACTCCCATATCGAAATCTTTGGTGCCTAGGGCCTTTTTCGCTCTCCATCCGATCCGACTCGGGTTTGGAGTCTTGTCCGGTTTTACCTTGGCTTCTTTGAAAAAAACTTGCGAATCACACCAAGGGCTTAGAAGCTGCGCCCACCCTGTAATAGTGGTATAATAGGAATATAATAGGGCCCTAATATAATCCTATACAATCCTTAGAGTCACCATTAATTACAGGGCACAGGGTGGGGGCAGCTTCTAACCAAGGGCTGTGGTTTCAAGCTTAGCTGGCAGGGTTAAGGCCTCTACGGGCTCAAGTTTAGGTATGCAAGTTGAACTGACGCAAGCAAACCTTAAGTTAGACTGCACAACTTTGCGACTGAGTTACAGCTCCATCGCAGAAACACTTACCACAAGGGACCGTTGCATGTACAATCTATCGTGCCTGGCTTTGTCGTGTTGAGTCACTGTTGCTTAGGGGACTTGACCCAACTTAAGTGTAAAATTACTCCGGAAGATTCTGGCTGTGCCAAGTCTTACAAAGTAATGTGCGAGCTGGTGCCACTATCACTTAATTAGGAATATACTTCAAATTATAGAACCATCCCGACTATGATTTAAGGACTATTCGGCTATTCCTTACTTAAGGGATATTTAAGTCTCTGGGAACCCTTGGGCCCTAGGGTATTCAGGATTCGACTTGTTAATGTAGGAACCTGATTAAGAAACCCTGGGCCAATAACCCCAAAATAGTAGGATTCTTAAGAAGAACCCTAATGAAGGCGCAAGGTTTTTTCAATCAGGTTCCTACATTGCACTTTGGTTGCCGCGCCGTCGCAGATGACTGTGTGGGGTCTTTTAGAACTGGTCGAAGACGAGACGGCCACCAAACCCCGAGCCCTAAAACCCTAAACCCCAACTCCTAAATCCTGCACCGCACTCCCTAAGTCCCTAAGTTCTAATCCTAAGCCACAGACCGAGCCCAAAACCCTAACCCTACACCGTAAAACCTACCTTCTCGACTCTAAACCAGCTCAAAAAAACTCCACCCCTAGAGCACCGTAGCCTGCAAGACAACTCGTCCGAATCACGAATCAAACCAAACTAAAGCGTAAACTCCGGGATCACTTTAAGCTCTAAGGATTCTACTACGCCGAGGGTCTGTAGCGGCTCTCCATAGATTTGGCCCTGCATGAGGACAGCTCCGGGCACCAAGACACTCAGGTCAGTCTGAGCCAACTACTTGGGCGCTGCCCCCCATACAGTAACAGTCTATAACCGGGCTACTATTACGCAATGTCTTAATATATCTTTAAACTTAAACACTAAACGCTAATATTATGATTATTATCCAACTATTACTGAGCGGGGGCAGTACCCGGCCAACTACCATGCGTGAATTCTGAGCTCGTGTTCGAGCCTATACAGCTACGGTTCATGGCAGTACCCGGTAGTTGCCGTAGCCTTAAAGGAAGCCCTATAGATCCCTTAAAGGAAGTCCTATAGAACCCTGAAAGGAAGCCCCATAGAGCCCTTAAAGGAATCCCTGACGGAGCATTCTGTGTCTCACCGTAGACCGACATTCAGGTCACACTGCTACCTGCGTTGTGCAATACAGCAGCCTGATTTAGAACTTAAAGAAAAGCATTGTGTATTATGGGAGCGAGATTACGAAATCATGGGTCTTTATTAGGGTGCAGTTCGAGTTCACCAGTAGGGTAAAACTAACCTCTCTCACGGCGGTCTAAACCCAGCTCACGTTCCCTATTGGCCGGTGAACAATCCGACATTTTGGGATTTCTGAGTCTCAACGATAGGAAGAGCTGACATCGAAGGATCAAAAAAGCAATGTCACTATGAACGCTTGGCCGCCACAATCCCCCGTTATCCCTGTGGTATCTTTTCTGACACCTCTGGCTGAATATTTCTCAGACCTAGAGGATCGATAGGTCATGTTTTCACAGTTTGTATTCGTACTGAAAATCAAGAAGGCTTTACACTCTCACTCTCGGAATCTCATGGATGAGGTGCGCAAGTCGCAGGCTTTGGGATTCGGACTCTTGCGCTCTCACAACTCGAGGTCTCGAAGTCTCCCGCATGATACCAGAAAGGATACTCACGACACAGTCTTCGACACATTGAGCCAAAGAAATGCACTTTCTATTCGGTCATGTAGGGTTTATATAGGGCTTAGAGCTTGTCAACCATTGAGACCATGGGCCTTTAGTATGGGCCCTTAACCCTGGGATCCCTAACTACCTACTGTATACCCTACATAGACTCTTGAGGGTCCCTAGAACTCCCCCAAAAAGGCCTAAGGGCCCATACTACGGCCCTATGGTTTATGTTTCAACCGTTGAGCTTGGGAGCCTACCAGGGCCTAGGACTTTTGCAAGTTGCAAGAGGAGTTTGGTTAATGTTGCAAAGCTCTGGTTTGGGCACTGCCCGTATTTCGGAGAGTGACGAGCGCATCCTATCCAGGGGCCTATAGGGGCCTTGCTGTTTACAATTTGTCGTCTGAGTGTAAGGCTCATGACACTGAAAATTTACAGGTTCTGAGGGGTAAACATGTGATAGCCGCCATATAAGAGGGATGATGATATAGGTACTTCAGATTCAGCGCCAAATTATATACTATATGGTATCCAAACCTTCGAAAAACGCGAATTGACATTGGAAGGTCGGGATATGATACATGCGCTACGCGGGTGGACGTCATGCAAGATCTGCCGGAAACCTCTGCGCATGCAGTGCTAAACCCAAATCCGTAATACAGGGGCGTCACTAATTATTTGCGGAGAGATCATTTCAACTTATTCCCATCTCTATCTCAGCCAAAACCAAAGACCTCACAAAATGCGCCTGTGCCAGCGACGTATTCGGTGGCTGAGGCGGTGTTGGGACCAGGTCCTGCCCGGAATTTTTAACTGACTTTCAGAGTCACGGATTGGTCCAGACCCCAAAACCGCAGTTGAGGGATCAAGGCCTGCGCTGGCCAAAGCTATCCACTCTTAGTCTTAGCCCCGGAAGGCTTAAGCCCCAAAGCTGTTAAAAGCCGTAAGGTAAAAGCCAGAAAGTTGGAATATGATTATCCTAACCCTTCTATGGTAAATTACAGGGTATCCTACCCTGAAACCATATTCCAACTTTCTGGAGTTCCCTTTAACCCCAAACCTCCAAGGCGGTCAGGGTGTGATTCCTCGAACAGCCCGGCCTAGTCCAGCAGCCTGCTTCAAAATCTTCTCATAGACCCCAAGGATCCATGTCCCCTTACAGTAGAAGCCAGAAAGTTGGAACATGATTGTCCTCATACCCTTAAGGTAAAGGGATCCCAGCATGAATCATCCTAAACCCATGTTCCAACTTTCTGGGGTTCACTATAGTAGGGTTTAGGGCTTGAGAGATGTTTCTATAGCTCTTGAACAGGCAGTTAAGGATCAAACCAGAAACTACAGGTGGGTACATTAAATTCAAAGACTGTTTCGATTGCACCATGAAAACACACAACCGGCGGATTTTTAATCCCTAAGCCCTAAACCCTGACCTGCATGAACTGGCGGTCTTGGAAACCTTTTGTTTTACGGGTTCTACGCAGTCATAGCCGACCAATTGGTAGTGTTTGGGGCGACATGCAGTTCCCCCTTTATACTCAACCCTATGGGTAGTTCTCTACCTTAGCATCCTTTGTGGGGGACCTCGTTATGAGCGTGCCGTATTATGAAGGGGACCCCAAAAGGCACACTAGCTTACAGAACGGCCATGTATCATGTATATAACATAGCATTGGGCAAGACTTTTGTCAACCTTCCCGAAGAGTGCATGTAGTCATAGAGTATATACTTTGGCCTTACAGTAGTTAGTACATGGGTATTGTCAGGACAAAGTATGAACAAAGTCTGTACTTTATTGGTACTTGGACCCTTAGGGCTTGTAACCCCTCGAGTAAAACTGTATATATGTGGACCCTTGTAGTGGCCTTCTTGTCGTAATGCTTTCGGTAAACATCATATCAATCGACCTGGTAATCAATCATGAACGTAACCCGCAATGGTATTTTCATTGGGAGTCTGAAACGAACCCTTTAAGTTTTCTTAACACCAGCTTCTAACAGGTAGGTGATCGAAAAGCACAGAGCCTGCTACGGTTTCCCGTTGCGGACAACCCTAATGCGCTTCTGCCCTTTGGTTTCGCTGCATAAGGATTCGCGGCACAAAAGAATGCTTTGAACCCGTGCTTGGTAGGTGTCTCTCAGTTGCGCACTGTAATCGCCCTTGAACACTTGGTCGCGTGTGTCCACAAGGCTTTACTGTACTCTTCTATAGGATCCCTAAACCCTAAACCACAAGTTCATGTCCGTTACTTTGGTCCTTGGATTCAGGATCCTAGTACATCAGTGCGGGTGTATATTCGGGTGCCCTACTTTCAAGAGTGCACACAACAGTATGTCATGGTAGGTTAATGCAGGGGAAACCGATCAGTACTACAGTATCGCGTTGTAACTTAGGAGGCCCGTTCGAACGGCTAGAAAAGCCGTCAGATGCTGCTGAAGCGTCCAAACTGCAGCGTGGATCAGGTTCGTATGCTCTGGGCTTAGTTAGGTTTTTGTACCATTCTCGCACTCGGATTTAGAAAGGCTCTCCGAGAAGGCCTGAGTCGGTGCTTAGGAAGCTGGCTGCGAATTGAAACGGCTTGACTGAATACTTCCAGAAATTAGAATGCATAGGCTTTATATTTAAAAAAAAGCATTAGGATCATTAGGGTTTAGGGTTTAGGGTTTAAGGGTTTCGGGTTTAGGGTTGACGGTCTTACGGCTGCAAAGGCGGCCTGAGCCTGCGCGACTGCCGGCAATGCCTGGCAGTCGCCATGGCACCCGCTACAAAAACGTCGTCGTCGTCGACCTCGTTGTCGCCGTCGTAGTAAAAGTAGTAGTAGTAGTAGTAGTAGTAGTAGTAGTAGTAGTAGTAGTAGTAGTAGTAGTAGTAGTAGTAGGAGTAGTAGTAGGAGTAGTAGTAGTAGTAGTAGTAGTAGTAGTAGGAGTAGGAGTAGGAGTAGGAGTAGGAGTAGTAGTAGGAGTAGTAGTAGTAGTAGTAGTAGTAGTAGTAGTATAGTAGTAGTAGTAGTAGTAGTAGTAGTAGTAGTAGTAGTAGTAGTAGTAGAAGTAGTAGTGGTAGTAGTAAGTTGCACTGGCAGTGGCGGTGGCGGTAGCAGTAGCAATAGTACTAGCTGTAGCAGGAGCAGTAACAGTAGCAGTGGCAGGAGCAGGAGCAGGGGCAGGAGCAGAAGCAGTAGCAGTAGATGGTCGTAGTGGTGGTAGTAGTAGTAGTAGTAGTAGCGGCAGTAGTAGGAGTAGGAGGAGTAGGGGTAGCTGTAGGTAGGAGTCGACTTCGGAGTAAGGGTAGAAGTAGAACTAGGAGTAGGACTAGGAGGAGTAGGAGTAGCAGTCGTCGCCGTCGCCGTAGTGAAGTGATGGTACCAGTTGTGAGTGCTGAACCCCCCGAAATACCTGCAAACCTGAAACAAACTTTCAAAGCCTGCTTCAATTCCCACAGCTTCGTCCGCAACTTTTTGAATGCAAGGCTGCTTTAAAATGAAGGCCTGACTCGGCCTGACTGACTTATTGCTATCATTCCTCCTTAAGGTTCAGTCTTATGGATATTTTGCAGGTACAAATGTTGCTAAGATTGTTATTTTATTGTTACTCCTCAGGGTTCAATCTTATGGTTATTTGGCCGCAACTTACCGTCAGGGCCCTGAAATCTCTAGATCCATGACCATCTAAAACCATCAGTCATTGTGAACACCTGGAATAAACCCCAGAATGCCCTCTTAGTTGCTGAGTGCCTAAGCCCCCAAAAGTTTACACTTTCAGTTTTATAGTGGGTAATGTTATCCCCAAAAGTGTGAAGTGTATCCACTGAGCTAGCCCTAAACCCTAAACCTTAAACCCTAAACCCTAGAATGCCCTACTAGAACTCATTTGAGATCACTTCAGCCTACTCCATACAAAGCTCTCGGCTCTTCTGCTGATCCTGGACAACCCTAAACCCTAAACCCTACCCCGAGGCTCCATGTACCCATACTGGGGTTCCTTTAAGGGGTCCTTTAAAGGGTTCTACAAGGGTTCCATAGGGTTTAGGGTATAAGGGGCGATGGTACCCGTATAGTATATACTCGGGCCTTAAAGTACCTATATA